CTAAAAGTTGTTTGCGATATCGATCTTTATAATTTTTGTTTTTTACATGATTTTTCTAAAATGGACCGTAATGGAAAAATTGGAGGAAAAGTGCTGAATTTAAATTTTTCAGTATTTTCATTTTCAACATGCTTCAACATATACTTCGATGGGGCCAGTTCACGCGGAAAAAACATTACATTTTAAACTTAAATTTTATTTCGGCCTGAGGTGAAATTATTAGATTTTGGACAAAGTCGGAACATCTGGGGGGATACTTTATAGGAGGTCGTTTTTATATTTTATGGAATATATCTGTTATTTATGTTTGAAGAAGAAAATTGTTCAAATAAAAGTTACTTCTAATATTATTATCTATAATTTATGCTTTATGCCAAATTTTCCTGAAAATTCGAGAAATTTGACAAAATGTGCAAAATTCTGATTTTTAAGAAAATTGTTAAACTAAAACTCGTTTGCGATATCGATCTCTACAATTTTTGTTTTTTACATGATTTTTCTAAAATGGACCGCAATGGAAAAATTGGAGTAAAAGTACTAAATTTAAATTTTTCAGTATTTTCGTTATCAATGAATATCTATAGAAAAATGATTCGAGTTAGATGTATGTGGAAAATGTATATATTTAGTTTATCCTCTTAACATTTATAGAGGTGCTGCAATAGGTTATAATAACTAGATAGGAAAGTCATGTGTTGGACACATCAGATTTTATAAATATTAGTGTATTGAAATCCATAAATATTAATGTAAGTGATAATGCGTCTAGAAATTAAGCATAGTTTTGGATTATCCTATCCTTTAAAAACCCTTCTCAGACTGACGATTCCATCAGAGGATATAGTCAGATGAAATTTCATGATAAGTGATAGCTTTGATCGCGAAGCCTGTCGTCGACAAGTACACGACAGATGAGCATATGCGGACTTCGATGGCGGAGCCGAAAAACAGGGATTTTGACAAAATGTGCAGTGTGTTTGCGAAGAGTTCGTCATTAGTACATAAGTTGCCGGGACTATTCGAAACGATCAGCAAACATTAACGAGGACAACTTGTCCGCATAAGCGTTGTACAACTACCGATTTTACTTTTAGCATAGCAAAGATAAATCTGGCAACGCGATAAAGTCCATTTTCGGAACATTGTACACTTTTAAAGCATAACGTCTTGTTTTGCAGCCGATTTTTTTCTAAAAACGTTCAGATTAAGTGAAATTACAATAGTTTTTTCATTAATTAGTTGTCAAAAGTGTGTATTATTAACATGAGCCGAAAATGTCTGTTGTTATACCAGTAACTCGCGTAATGGCGACACTGGATATCTTCATTTCGTGGTGTTTTTAACCCGATTTTATAAGGTGACAAATTACTTTAATAATTATGATTAGTACCTGCTATATTCCTGGCTGTAAGTCCAATTCTAATAGTGCTTTTAAACACGAACAGGGTGGAAAGCTGATATCCGTTTTTCCACAACCGAAGGACGATAATTTAAGACAAAAATGGTTAAATGTAATTCCTAGGGCTAACTTTATGCCTTATAGCAGTAGTTTGTTGTAAACACTTTCCTGAAAGTGAAATTATAGGGTTGATAATTATTTGCAACCCGCTGGAAATTTATGTAAAAGATAAGCTTAAACTAAATGCATGCCTCTATTATATCCCCTTGTTTATTTGTTTAACCTAATTTTGACGATTACACCCAAATTACGCACGCAAAATACCAAGATATTGAAGACGGTTTTAATAAATAGAATTTTGTATTGCGAAAGCATACAAGTTAAATCATAAAACAGTTTTTCCCAGCAATCTCGAATATCAAAAAATTTATATAGCAGACAATATAATATGCCATTCTTCCAAAATTTATGCTTTAAAGGAATGTGAATATCCAATATATCTACAAATTATTAGACATTGGTCTAAACATTACCATGCGGCAGGTCGGCCTTGATAACGTCTAGTCTAGTCCAGATAAGACATAATTATAATGTCTTCTCTCTGGTCCTAGTCTAACATGGAAATATATGGTGACAAGTCCGTTGTGAGCCGAGAAAATGAGGTAAGTTTATTTTTTGTAATTTTTATATAAAAGGTATATTAAATTAGTTCGATAATATGTGCATATCATTACGATTTTTTTAAGAGCGAATCCTCAGTGAATAGTATGCATCTTGAGGTTTATTTTTGTGTGTTTAAATTTCGCTTCACTTTATTTACAAATGTTGTAAGAATGAATGACTGTAAACAATACAGAGTGGAGCAAAACCCCGCAGCCTGTTAGAGGCAAAGTCCCGCATTCGGGAACTTGCACCATGATGCGGGGGCTTTACCCCATTTTGTTTGCAAAACATTTTATGAACATTTTAATTTATATTTTTGTTTTAGAAACTAGTACTTGCCAATGACCGAAGATATTCATTCGCTGCGGTACGTGCGCTGATCGTCCGAGGCGTTTCGATCCGTCAAGTGACACTAAGGGATCGACTCAAGAAAGGTGGAGGACAAACACTCGGACGATTTCGAGCGACTTCAGGAAACAGAGTTGGTAGGCCTCTGTATTGACCTGGATAAGCGATTTTTTGGCATAACGTTAAAATCCTTACGTTTCCTTCTATATTAATATGTCAAAGAGAACAACCTTCATCAATTTTCAACTAAAGCGCAACTAGCTGGGAGGGATTTCACGCGAGCCTTCATGAAAAGAAACAAGCTATCTCTGCGTGTTCCCAGAAGACGAGCGTTGCCCGAACAATGGGGTTTAATAAGGTACAAATTTCTCAATATTATGGTACTTTGGAGGCAGTCATGAAGATATATAGGTTTACTACCTGCCAAATCTTCAAAATGAACAAAACAAGGGTACAAACAGTTTCAAATATATTTCCTAAACACGTTGCTCCCACGGAAAAAGAAGTTGCAAAGGTAGTAGTAGCGGAACAAGGACAAATCGCTGTGTGTGCGTTGAGTCCTATTGGCTCTTTTGTATCTCCGTTCTTTATCTACGCACGAAAAAGAAAATCGGCTTTTAATTAAGGGCGGCCCGTTAGGATACGACATGGTTGTAATCGACAAAGGATATATGAACACTCCTACCTTTATCAAGTGGCTAAAACACGTCCAAAAATATGCAAAACCAAGCGAGAGTAACCCAATATTGCTCATACTTGATAATCATGTTTCTCACAAAAGTCTGGAGACACTAACTTTTACAAAATCAAACCACATCCACCTGCTTACATTGCCACCCCACAGTAGTCGCAAAATCCAACCTCTTGAGCGTTGTATTTTCCGGCCGATCAAGGTTTATTATGATGCAGTTGTGGATTCGTGGTATGTTTCTCATCCAGAAGAAACCTTCAGCGTTTATAATGTTGCTGAGACATTCAAGGTAGCTTTTGAAAAAGCGAGCACTGTTGAAAATGCAGTTCAAGCTTTTAAAGTAACTGGTATTTATTCCTTTAACGCAAATATCTTCTCAGATGCGGACTATTTACCATCAGAGGTAATAACAGATCAGCTGCCAGAAGAAGAGCGAGACGATGATGATCGAATGGTAATATTTAATAATGATGGTGATGAGCTAGATGTGCAAGCCATTTCTGAAGCGTATGATCCGCAATCCACTTCAGTATCACTTACTGCTGCAACAGAAGTAGATATGTAACAAGGCAGCAGTCACCCTGCTATTAAAACACTTTCAAAAGAAAATGCACTTGCTGTTGCAATAGACGAGAATATGCAACCAAGCAGCAGCCATGCTGCTATTGAAATGATATCTTTGAATGAAGATGCTCGCCCATCAAGCTCGTTTAACTCCTGGATATATAATCCCTCTTACTAAAATGAAAATAAGGAGGAAATGCATAGAAAAAGGATTGAAGTCTGAGTTGCTTACATCCACACCTAATAAAGAACGTATGGAAAAAGAACCGGCTGAAAAAGAAAAACAAACTACAAAGAAGTAAAAACGTTCGCTGGAAATTAAAAAATGCACATTAGAAAACGTAACTAAGCAACTCTTCTCAGCCGTCAATCAAAAAAGGAGAAGAAACAAAGACATCTTGTAAGATCTTTGAGAAGAATATTTCCAGAGAACTGGACTACTCAGACGCCGACGCAGATTATTCTATACATGACAGTAGCTCTGATTTTCAATCTGATGATGAGATAAACGCCCAAGAGGACGAGATTGAGAACTCACAGCAGAGCTCTAAAATGATGTTGCCAAATGAGAACGCTGTAAAGGTCAGGGTAAAACCAAAAATTCTTTTCGACACTACGTAGCTATAGGATCATTTTTTTCTACTTACTAAGGAGGTTATGAAGGAGTATTTTGTAAGAAATTACCGCAAGCTTACAAGTTTTTGGAAACGAATGAAGAGTCCTTTGTTCCTGAAGAAGATATTGTCTTGAAATTTTGAAAACCTACTGAGATTAACTCTGCTAGGTTTCATAATGTTATAACATTTACAGAGGATTTGACTAACTTACAATGTACCAGTGGACTGTCATTGCATTTCTAACTTATTTTAGTTTTTTTTTATAATTAGCTTTACATTTTTTAAACAAAAAAATACTTTTCAAAGTTTCTCTAGAAATTCAATATTAATAAATGTTAATAAGATTGTCATATTATTTTCTTTTTAACCCAACTTTACCCACCATTGAGGTAAATCCCCGCATCGCGGGTGTTTGTCCCATTTGGTGGGGCAAATCCTTGCAAAAAAAAAAACAATGAACATTTTTAATTAACCCATTTTCAGACACCACAAGTGTCGTAATTAGGTTATATGAATGATCCCTACTTAATACTTCTAAATGAAATTGATAAAGAATACACCTCCCACTTCCCAAAATTCGGTAAAAACTAAAAATTGCGAGGCATTGTCCCCACCTATCTAAATATTGTCAGCCAATATCAAGTCATAATGAGTTTTCTATCAGTTTTTTTAAACGAATGAAGCAGAATCAAAAAAATAAAAGAAGAAAACTTAATACATTTGTAACGGGTGGGCCATGAATATGTTGAATTTTAAACTGCGTGTTATTAATGAAGTTGACAATTTGACTGTCATTAATTGTTGACAGTGATTTAATTTTATCCTTCCGCTAACCGAATATGCATCGCTTTAGTCTAGATCAACGTTTTGAAATACTCAAAACTTATTTTGAGTGTAACTCTGTGGTTGTCGAGATGGCGCGAAAATTGCGTACAAAGTTTGGAAGAAATGAGGCGACTTCAAACCAAGGAATTAAGAATTTTATGATAAAGTCCGAAAAACTGGAATGCTGGTGGTCGTAAAACATGTTCCGCATGCTCATCCTACGCGTACACCTGAAGTAATTGCTGCTGTAGCCAAAAGTGTGCGCCTTAACGCGTCAACATCAACTCGGCGTAGAAGTCAATATCTTGGCCTTTCTCGTACTACTCTGAGGAGGATTCTGCACAAAGACCTCGGTATGTTTGCGTACAAAGTCCAGTTCGTTCAGGAGTTGAAGCAAGTTAACTATCCACACCATTTTCGCTTCGCTGAGTGGGCTCTAAACCAGTTGAACGATGACCCTGGTTTTGCAAGAAAAATCATCTTTTCGGATGAGGCGCATTTTCACATCGGAGGTTATGTTAACAAACAAAACTCAAGGATTTGGGACACGGAAAATCCACACGTCGTCGTAACAAAGCCCATTCATTCAGATCGAGTCACTGTGTGGTGTAGATTTTGAAGTAGCGGCGTGATTGGACCCTTTTTCTTTGAAAATGAGGCTGGCCGCGCCGTTACGATCAATGGCGACCTCTATCGAGATATGATAACGAACTTTTTGTGGCAGGAATTGGATGATATCAATCTCGATCAGGTCTTGTTTTAACAAGACGGCGCAACTTGCCATACCGCCGCGGACACCATCAATCTTTTGCGCACAAAATTTAATAATCGTGAAATTAGCCGTTTCGGAGATGTTAATGGAGCTGCGATTTAACACCACTTGACTTATTTCTTTGGGGCGCATTAACGAATAGAAAATTATGCGGATAATCCTCAAACAATTGAGCACTTAAAACAGAACATTCAAGTTCAAATTGCTCAAATAGAGCAGCAAACTGTTGAAAAAGTGCTTGAAAATTGGTGTTCCAGGATGGGCTACTGCCAAGCCAGTCGAGGTGGCCACTTAAAAGAAATAATTTTCCATACTTAAATAAAGTTAAATTTGTTGGAAAAAAAAATAATTTTTCTTGTCCTCAAAGCTAATTTATAATTCAACATATAAATGGCCCACCCTTTAGTATAATGAGGTGGCTTGGTAAATAAAGCACGTAGGTTTATAGAGAAAAACCCTTTACATTATCGGAACAACTATAACTAAGAAACGAATGAACTGATATAACGAAAATAATGTTTATTCGCGTATGAAGAGAGAATAGAGGATCGTCTTACATGTACCCACTGAATGACCGACTGTAATATATGTTTTAAAACCACGTTTGTTTGTATGTATGTACGAGTTATCTACCGTTTTACTCAATCGCGCTAGCTAGATAAACTATACTCTGCTAAACTCCACGCGGAGAACTTCAGAGAAAAATAATCGTTAATGTAATCAAAATAATATCACTACAGGCGCACTGCAAAAATAAATTCCTAACAATGTTCACTAGCATCCGGGTTATTATAAGTTCATTATTGATTTGAAATTATAAAATTTTATTTATTTCATTTATATTTTTAGGATGTTTGTTCATAGCAACTTTTGCTCTGATTCCAAAATTTACTAATGAAAAGACTCTACCATTTGTTGCTGATTATCCGTTTGACTGGACCATCTCTCCTTTCTATGAAATAACGTACGTTTGTCACTTGTTTTTTATTGTCTTGTTAGGATTAGGTGTTTCAGTTGGAGAGGATTTATTAGTTATGGCAATATTGTTAAGTACTGCTTATCAATTCTTTATTCTTCGAATATGTTTTGAAGTATTTAATACCGATGGTATAAATAATGTCAACAAAAAGTTAAGAAAGTTACAATCTGATCAGTTAGATTGTAAATATGATGAACTAACAGAATATTTTATTCGATGCGTGCGCCATCATGAAATGCTTTTAAGGTAAGAATTTTTAAGTTACTATGGATTAGTATTTTTTTATAGTTTTTTAATGTTAACATTTAAATCGTTCTTTTTTTTTAGTAATTTTATTATTTAGATAGGTCTTCTACAAATCTCTCTAACTCTAACCTAGATAGCCTTTCAGTAAAAATATCAACTGAAGATTTTTCGTTTTTATATGACTCGCCTGATATTGATCATACTTTTGAAAATTTGTTAATACAATTAAGTATTACTTAAATGTAACTTGTCCTATTAAAAATATAAAAAAAGTGACCAAAATTACTTGTCTAACAAATAAAACAATCAATAAATTTTAAAGAGAGAGGATCTGAAAAACTTGTTCTGGCTCTCAAGAAATTGTTCTAATGCAGAGGTTTTGCATAATTACAAAACACAAAAGAAAACAAGACATTTATCCTAAAAGAGGACATTTGCGCCGAAAAAAGGACATCTTAAGCTTTAAAAAGTCATAAGGACATTTTGCTTCAAAAAAGGACTGTCCTGTTCAAAAAAGGACAGGTGGCAACCCTAATGTTTATTTAATAAGAACCAAACGCCAAATTGGAGTTTTGAGATATTAAAGGTTAAAGAGCATAATGCTTCATTGTTTATAATAAGTTTAGAGAACTCCAGGTTTGTGACTAGTGTCAGATAGGTATTATGTTATCATAGGCACAATTTTATAAGTATATTAAGCTACCTAGAAACATGAGTTAGAAGATATTTTTGGCGGATGGTTTTTTTTATTGAAATTAGGAATTTATGTTTCTTAACGTGTCGTTTGGTTCATTGGCCAAAAGATGGTACAAGAGTAGTTAGTAATTAGAACGTTTTATACAAGGTAAATTGTTAAACCTTCCTCTGTCGCTTGGTGCCTTTAACTCATTTTTGCCAGTTTGTCACTTGGTTCCTTTTAGATAAGCTAGATTTTTCTAATTGGCAAGTCATTAATGGTACTAAAACCTTCTCGAAATCCTGTGTGAACTGGCTAATTAATATAATAAATCTATAAAAATAAACATTTTAATAATGCATATTTTGTTTAATCAACCTTGATATTATTTATTCATTACGGATTTTTCAAATTGCTTTTTTGTGTTTTTATATGTGAAACTTTTGTTTTCTTGAAAGAAATATTAAAAATTAGATAAACTAACTAAAATCAACTTTTTTGTTTTTCGGTTTTATCGTACCTCGCAGTTTTCGAGAGAAAAAAAAAAACAAAAATTGTTTCTATGCACGCCATTAGAAAAAAAAATATAAAAGTGGAGCATATTAATAAAATTAGCTCAAAACAAATTTAAATAAACTTTTCTTTTATTAAAAAAAAATACGAAAAATAAAAACAACATCCAAAAAGTTGTATTTTTAGTTGCTTTTCGTACAAAAAAAAAAAATATGAAAATTGCTCAAACCTACTAATTGGCCCCGTGGACACGCCCCTAAAATTACTGAATCAACTGTAATAGGTCCAAAACATACCATTAAAACATTAACAAATTAAGAAAACTTTTGTTTTTTTGCCAATCATCCACTATTTAAAGTCACGTGATTTGGATTGCCTAATATTATTTTAACCAATTATTATTAAAAAAAATCAATTTACAATTTCTTTATAGATTTACGAAATCATTTAATGATGTTATAAACCCTATGGAAGTCTCACAATTAATAATGAGTGTCGCTTCAATTTGTCTTGGTATCTTACGTTTGTCTAAAATGGTAAGTTCAAACGACAACATAAATTTAAACAAATTTTGTCTTTAAATCTGACAACTTAAATAAAAATGGAATACAAATATATTTTCTAAAGCAAAATAAGAAAAAAATTAATGTTTTTTTCTAATTTTGACATATAAAGTGACATCATTTGTAATCGCAGCAAGTGTCAAAACGATCTACTTTATGCAACCAGTTATATGAAGTTGAACATTATGAAACTGGTTATGGAAAATTCATTATGTCTCCAGTTGCGAAAACACAAATAAAATAATCCTTTTTTTTATCAATTTGAAAGTTTATATCGAAGGAATAAAGGTTGGCTATATAGAAATAGTTTTGATTCCTAATTTTTATTCTAAATCTGCACAAAATAATCGAAAATACTGATCGACTCTCAGTCAATACACGAAAAAAATTATTTACGACTTTCTAAAAAAGTAATAAATGCAAAAATCACGTTCCATAGACGAAACCATGATACAAAAAAAACAGAGGTATGATACTTAACCGACAAAATCTCGTCGAGTTCGCGCATGACGTATTGTGGTGTGGAATATGGTTTGATTAAAATTTATTTATTTATAGTATCAATCTGCCTAATATCTTATCTTCCTTCTATATTATCATGGGCTCGTCACGGAATAAAAAAGAGCTGAGAAAACATTCTGCTTGGCGTCGCTCTGCTCGTCAGGCAAATATTTAGTAGTTACATTAAAAATAGGGAATCTAAGTCATTATAGACATCGAAACATTTTCTTGCTGAATTAGCGACAAAACGGGCACAATAGATCTTTTAGGTCGCAGTGTATACAACCTATTCCCAAAATAATATAACTGGTTGCATAAATAGCAATTTAAATTTTCTTTACTTTTATATGTCTTCCCAAAAACCTTCGTTTCCTATGTAGTTTCATTTTTAGAACATCATTACAATTGTTGAAGTTGCAAACAGTGTAGGCTACATGATAGGAATTTTAATGCAGCTAAGTATTGATTGTTTCTTGGGAAATGAATTATATTATCAGGTTAGTAAACTGAACATTAATCGATTCGCCTATAAGAAAGATTAATTTTAAATATTGGATTGTTTCTCACAGAAAACAATTTGATTTTTATTATCTGATTGGTAGAGTAGATTATACTCATTTATCATTTGATGATGGTGGGTGTGGTTTTCCTCACCTGTAAGTCAAATGGCACCATCAATCTTCTTTAAGTCGCCCGGAGCGCCACGGCAAATAATAATAATAGCCTTTCCCCGCACAAGCTTAGCTTTTGGGGTTAAAATTCACTCGTAAGGGGGTGAATTAAGGAGAGTATTATTATTATGCCCATCATATCTACATTGATCGCCTTTGGATTTAAAAAAGGATCGGGAACATGGACGGGAACAATCTAATGAGTAAAATAATCGCTTAACCTTTTTAACAGGCAAAACTGTATAGGCTTTTTTAATCATTATATGAATTAGTAATGTTTAATGAGAAACAATTTTTTTTGTATTTAATCCACCAACATTTTTGTAGTACATATTTGTACCATCAACATTTTTATGGTAAACATTTGTACCATCAACATTTTTTTGGTACTCATATGTACTAAAAGAAAAAATCTAAAATATTCACAAATTTTTATAATCATTTATTACAGAAACATTCGTTTTGATCTTGTTAGTGTATCATCAGAAGTAACTTACAAAAAACCAGCCAAGATACCATTTTGCCTATTTTTGTTCACTTTATTAAAACTTCGGCACTCTTTGTTGAGACATCCGTGATACTCGGAAATCAAAAGCTTTATTCACTTTTTGGTACAAATACGTACAACATTTTGACAGTTATCATTGTAAATATTTGTACCTCGAAACGAAATCTTGTTCAAAATGGATGTTAGTGTCAATATTTCAGTCAAATACAACATGTTGTTGATCCATAATAATACATGGTACATATATGTACCAGCAACTGTTAAAGGGTTAATTTTGAACTGTTTCTTGTTCATTTCCTCAACAACAATCTCAACTACCTGAAAATAATTTAGAACTGAGTGGAATCCACCTTTCCCACTATTGGACAATTTCGCATCACTTATGCGCGAAAAAAGCGGTGGGACTTTTGAATCTATTAATACAACTTTTTTGTTTGGAAAATGAAATTGTTATAATATGTTGTATTTACGCAAGGTTCTTTTTTTTTCAGCGATAAAATAAGGTTATATAGTATTAATGAAAATAATTTGCTGCGATCGAACTAGCGGTGGAATGCCCTTGCAGCAAGCAAGAGGGTATAGTGAACCGAATTTCAAGAAAGTGGTAGTAATTTTTTTCTATTAACTTTTGATGTAAATAATATCTGAAAGTTTCAAGCTTGCACTTTTTTATGCACATGCATTTTTAATACGTCGTCGACGGTTCCATCGCTACAGGGACAGCAGGAAAGTATTTCCATGTTAAGAATGAACGAAATATTTGTAATTTTGCCTTTCACAAATAACATATCTAAAAGTATCACTGACTTTCCTAACAAAATTAAATACAAATAGTCACTATCAAACGCAGAAAAAATGATATTTGCGGATGTGTAATTGGAACTCAGTGTAGGAAGGATAATAACAAATTTTGATGATTTTTAACAGGAAGTAGGATTTGCTCATGAGTAATAGAGATCATCAATAGTGGGATAGGTCTATTATTACAAATTAGAGTATCGAAACTTATATTTTCTGTCATGGATTGACTTAAATACTATCCTACCGACTGCGCCAATTAAATATATTATAGACCGAAATAAACAATAAACGACATTATACTTTGTTTATAGTAAAAAAGAAAGCATTAAAAAAATATTGAATAAGAAAATGTAATTGTTGAGGATATGAACAATAAAAATAATTTTAAATTATTGATGCACCAGTAGAATTAAATTTGTACTTGTTTAAGATATTTTTAGAGTTTACGTGTGTGACATCATTTGCAACTGAGAAACATTTGTTTTCTAATTATATTTAGCGGGCCAATTTTCACGAATGTGGGAGGGAGAAAAAAAGCAATGAAATCAAGGGTGGGGCATGGGAATGAACTCTCATAATACGATTGGTTTTGTTTTAAGGCCAGTTTATTGCCTGATGCTATATTTCAATGTAAATGGATAAACTTGGAAAGTAAGCAGTTACAATTAAAAAAGGATATTGCTTTTGTTATTCAACATGCTCATAGAATTCCTCAGTTCAATGCCTACAACTTATACGATATGAACATGACATCTTTCGTAAAGGCAAGTATCTGTTATTTCATTGTTATAGTCTTGGTAGTAACAAAAGTACTTATACAATAATCAGTAATTTTGGCAACTAATTGAAGCTAAAAATTGTCGAATTATCTGTTTAACTTTATTGGTACTTATCACTATTTAGCAGACCAATCTCCTAAAAACCAGTATGATCCTTACTCATCTCAATATTAATGTTGCTGCTATCGTTCATTGTAAACATTTTAGTTTATATTTTTTAGGTTCTCAAATTGGCGTTTTCAGTTTATACAGTTTTGTCATCACTTGAAAAGAAGGAATGAATAACAGCATCCTATATTCAATAGTTTGCTTATGTTTAGTTTCACCAAGTTATGAAAGAGAGCACAATAATTATGGAAAATCAGTAATATTTGAAAGTATCTTTATCATTATTACGGACAGCTTTTTTTATATTTATTTAGATATGTGTATTTTTAAATAACCCTTACAATTTGTCGCAAATTAGCACTAAAACTGGCTTGCAAGCTGAACGTACTTATTATTATTAAATAATTTGCTCGAAACACAAGTTTTTTATTACTCAAACTGTCTTTATGTCACAGGCTTTGTTTTCTGGGATGACAGTTCAATTGATTTTATTTTTTATTAAAAGCTGACTAATACATCTCACTTTAACAAATTTTTATTAAGATTCTGCTGAACTCTAATGAACTGTGAAAGACGGTATAATTTAAAGAATTGTAATAATGGTCCACAATATTATCTTCAAAGTTACCTATATAAAATATATAAATTTGGAGATCACAGATTATATATAAATGCTATATTACAACAAAATAAAACAATGACTATTGGTAAATCTTACATAAAAATATTCAATTCTATATAAGAAATTAATAATTACAACTCTATGTTGGTAAAAGTCCAATCTGCTGCAAACACATCTGTGCTGCAGCCGCTTTTGCTTCTTTCTTATTATTTGCTGCTACATTAGGTTTATATTCAACTCCATTAAGAACCACCTAAAAACATAAAGACTGTATCATCTTTCTCTAATAAGTCATAAATTGGACCAAAAACATTTCATCACAAAACAGTAATAAACGAATCTAACCTTAAAAAGAAAGTTCTTCTTGTGATCAGGTCCGCACTCGAATTCTAAAACGTATTGAGGTGCACCCAACTTTTTCTTTGAAGCATACTCTCCTAATAAAGACACGGGGTGTTTTCCTTGCAAGTTTTTCACACCTGGTGGAGCTTTTTGTTTCTTCTTCTTTTGTTCTTCATTTGCTACTAGACCTTTTTTATCAAGTTTTACTTCAAGTAGCAAAGGCTCAAGAGCTCCAGTTCGATCTTTTCCTAACCCTTCGCCCGGTTTCCAGCCCATTTTTTGAAGAAGGTGCATTCCCATCCCTCCAGAGAGTGGGGCTGCTGTTTGGAGTTGATCCTAGAGAATGGCCCGAAATTACTTAATATATTTTATTTGAGAAAAATTAATAGTTTTAATAATATAACATCCAGCAATTTTTATTTTTTAACACTTTGGATTGTTAGTAAAGTAAAACCCAAAAATATAATACCGACATTTTAAATTTCAGCAAGATCATTTTCTCTCTTCCAAGTATTATCTTCACACTAAGAATATACAGATTCAGCTTAAGTTTTTCTTGGGTATAACAGGAAGAACTGCGATAGATTCATCAAAAGCGAGCACGCCTTCAATCCCACTTTGTTTGCATGTGGGAGTTGGTGGATATGAAATCGGTCGGCCTCGTGGAATTGTCAACGCCTTATTCTGCTTTCTCTCTTAGTCTCACTTCGTATGAATATTCTTCTTTCTGTTGCTCCCTATAGTTTTGCACTATACCCAAGAATCATTTAAGCCAAATATGTATTATCTATCAGTTGATGTATAACATCACGTTTCCTTTAGGCTGTATCAGATATATAATAATAATACAGTTTTCTGTTTACTAATTAAAAAATATTCAACTTGCTTACATATAATTGCCAATAATTCTTGAAATATTAAACTGATATTTTGCTTTGTAACAATTTTAAGGTTTTATTATATAATTTTTAATTACAGCAAATATTTTATTTCACGATATTATATGGGTTTCTCTGCCAAATGAATTAAAACTTTTCTAATTTTGAGTTGTAAAATATGATCAAAATAATTTATGTTGGTAAAAATCATGCGGAAATTATTTATCAAATGAGAAAATAAGTTTATATTTTAGTTTTCAAAAATGTGACAATATATATTTTTTTTTACTTCCAACTTATCAACTTATATCACTTGTTAATCTACTAATCAAAAATTACGGTAACGTTAATCAATGCGATGCATTGGTGATGACGTAAAAAATGAGCCAAACAATGTTGTTAACAGACTAAGTACTTATCTAGTTTTTCATCTTTTTTTAGTAATCAATTCGGTAAAACAAATAAAAATATTTCTATTATTTTTAAGATTACAATCATCTTAAAAAACATACCACTGCAATAACTTATTAATATTATCTTAAACTATTTTTAACGATCTTCAAACAATAAAAAAAAAATTAACTTTTATGCCAAAATCAATGACAAAAAGGTTTGTTTTGTTTGGCTCGCTGTCGTCACACTAATGTGGTGTATTGATGAATTTAGTTTAATTAAAAATTGACGAAACCACAAAAGAATTGGTTGAAAATTTGTAATAAATAATTTACTTTATTAATTATTGGCAAAAGCTCAAATCATTGAAATCAGTGTCAGAACATAGGGATTATCCTTGTACTTTAGTCAACTGATAAAAATACTCTATTGAAATGTTAACCTGATAAACTAATCAACTAATACCGCTTTAAAGTGTTACTTTTTCAGCCGCATTTACTTTATTACGCCGCTTTTTATAAATACAGGTTTATCATACTTATCGTTAGTAATTATGTACAAATTTTATTAGTTAACGATGGATTTTTATTAGATCAATAAAAATTTGAAACAATTCTTGCATTTAAGCCTCTTTTCAAAAACAAGAATGTAGAAAAAATATTGGCTCTGCTTAGGGTCTGTTTATACTCCCTTATTATTAGTATTAGTATTATGGTTAAGCATTAAACTGGATAAAATATTCAAAAAAGGTATTTCTACTCGTTTTATATTTAGTATTAGTGCATTTTTTTAAATATTTTTCCTAATAAGATATAATTCTGCAGCCAACAAAATGTATGGTTACTGAAGAGATGCGTAAGAGGCCAGTTGTGCTCTTAGACTATTTTTTAAGATATTTGAGTATTAAACGTGTTTTTATTAATATTTTTTCTGTTAATTTTATTTAAAAATATTATTATTCAAAAATAGGTTTAATTAAAGACATTTTAACGGATTTATGTCTCAAATTTATATCAGATAAAAAGAAGAAATTTGAGACAAATCAGATAGAAAAAAGGCCTTTGGTCCTCGTGGGGACATGTCATTTGTCAACTTTATACTTGGTACACATTGCTGATACACAAAAATTGTATGCAGCGCATGATTTGTACCGAAATATCGCTTTAGAGCTTGTTGGAACAAATCTATAAACAATATCTGACAACATAATCATATGTGTATTGTCAATTGTTATTAGCCGTTGTCTATTAAAAACAAAGGCCAAATACGTCAATTATTCATTTGATAGAAAAGAAGAAATTTAAGATTTTAGGGTCTATTTATACTCCCTTATTATTAGTATTTGCATTAGTATTATGATTAAGCATTAAGTTGAACCTTCACAATGTAATGGGGACATTTATACTCGATTTATGATTAGTATTAGCATTAATATTTATGCTTAATAATTGACAGATTCAACTTTTAAATTAAATATTAAATTTCTTCTTTTCTATAAAATGAATCAATAGCGTATTTGGCCTTTGTTTTTAATAGACAACGGATAAGGATAATTGACAATACACACATGATTATGTTGTTTATATGTTTGTCCAACAAGCTCGAAAACGATATTTCGGTACAAATCATGCTATGTATATATGTATGTATGTGTATCAGCAGTGTTTACCGATTATAAAGTTGACAAATGACATGTCACCACGAGGAAGCAAAGGCCTCTTTTCTGTCTGATTTGTATCATATTTCTGCTTCTTTTTATCTGTTATAAATTTGAGACTTAAATCCGTTAAAATGTCCTTAATTAAACCTATTTTTGAATATTAATATTTTTAAATAAAATTAACTAGTAAAACTATTAATAAAAACACATTTAAAATTCAAATATCTTAAAAGAACACAACCGGCCTCTTACACATTTCTTCAGTAACCATATATTTTGTTGACTGCAGAATTATATCTTATTAGGTATTAGGTTTAAAAAAGAATTACTAATACTAATTATAAAACGAGTATAAATACCTTTTTTTAATGATTTAACAAATTTAATGCTTAATCATAATACTAATACAAATACTAATACTAAGGAAGTATAAATAGACCCTAACATAAAAGTTGAACCTGTCAATTATTAAACCTAAATATTAATGCTAATACTAATCATAAATCGAGTATAAATGTCCCCCAATACATTGTGAAGGTTCAACTTAATCCTTAATCATAATACTAAGGGAGTATAAATAGACCCTAAATGAGACAGTCAGTTAAAAAATGTAGTGTGCACCTCGGCCATATGATCTTTTTAAGCGTAGCCAGAAGTTGCTTGGCCTCGGTTGCAAATTTGATTTGGCCAAAAAGATCAACTTTACGACCTTAGTACATAATAAAATTTTTCTAATTCTATAATAAAACTGCAACAATTTAGCAAGCGTGTAAATTTAAACATAGGTCCTGAATTTTATACTGTTGTAAACATTTTCTGAAGGTGGTTTCATATAAAAGATAATAAATAGCATAATGAAATACGTTGTTTTTACCAAGTATTTGCAATACTTACCTACAAGTCTAAATTGAAATTAAATCTAATTCAGCTACAAGGTTTTTTTTTATTTATTTAACGTCGGCCCATTTCTACGAGGTTTAAACACCAATGCTGGTGAGCACGCTATCCCTAAATACAAAAAAAAATTTCCGAGACCGACGGCTTTACATCTCATCCGAAAGATGGCATACCCCACGCTATACCTCGTACTCATTGATATAACGCCTGTTGGCTACGATATGCAACTACGCGGGCAGTTGGACTTTATAGGTAGGCCGACTTTCTTTAAGATAGTCACTCATACAAGACTAACTGCGCGCGGCCTTGCTAACTGCAGATATCAATGCACAATAGTAAACCTGCTAAGCCGGGAGACTGTCCAGTTACAAGGTTATAAGCTATTAAAAAAAAAAAAACAAATTTTCGTTAGAATCATAGTCCGATATCCAGCTACAAAACTCTGCCATCACTAAACAACTTTATATATAAAAAAAGATATGTAAAACGATAAGAAAAAATATCGGCCAAAACAATATTCAATTAAATTTATTCCAGTATACTGACACCCTCACAAAAAACAACGATTTTTTCTAAATTATAGAGAAATATGTCTACTTTAATAATAACTTGATCTGCCTAACCCCATTCAGCCGGAAGTGTTTGGTACACCACCTTAAATGAATGAAACAAGTAATGTGTAATTACTTCATCGAACAACTCGTCCATGTTTTGTTTTTAAAGTTTTTCTTTTAAGCCATACATTATCGTCTCGATGATGGTGGGTGAGGTTTTCCTCACCTGTAAGTCAAATGGCACCATCAATCATCCTTAAGTCGCCCCGGAGCGCCACGGCAAATAATAATAATAATAGCCGTCCCTTCCCCTACACAAGTCGTTCAGTCTACTTCAGGGGTTGAAATTCACTCGTAAGGGGGTGAATTAGGGAGAGTATTATTATTATTATTATTAGAAGTTATAAAAATAATTTTAAAAAACCGACCCCAAAATCGTGCAGATGCCATCACAAATTGAATTTGCTGATTTTCTCATAGATCCCATCATCAGATATTGACCAAATGTATACCACCCTTGAGATAACATCTTTCTAACAAAAAAGAATTATAAAAATCGGAAAACGTGGTAAAGAATTATCGCTGAACATACAACACTCTTTTGAAGTCGGTTTAAAATGAATAAAAATATTAATCTACCGTCAATCGAGGAAAATAAAAAAATATGATGAAAAAAAAATCGGTTTAGATCCGAAAATTAAATGCAATATTTGGAAATTATGAAAATGAAAAATTCCCAATTCCCCTACGAAATTAGACTCGAGTCCGAGATTCCGGGTTCAACTACCGGCCGATCCACTCAGTTTTTCTTTCTTTAATTCACAGGTTTTTCAATTTTTCTTTGGTTTGTTTTTACCTTGTGCATATGAGGGTGTAATTTTAACAATTTCGTAGGGATTTCTTAATTTTCATAATTTCCCAAAATTAAAAAAATATGAATTTGGCTCACCTTATTTTTAAAGATAAAGAAAAATGTTTTTTAATAAAAGTTGTCCAGAAACAATTTTTACTTTTTCTTTACTTTATAATCAAATCGTTCAAGTTGTTTTGTGAGGGTGGTGGCATACTGAAATTGATTCGACAATTATTAATTTAAATATTGTTTCAGCCGAATTTTTTTAGGTAAACCATTCCATTTTTAAATAAGGTAGTAAGCACACTGGTTGATCAGCAGGAATTGGAGTGAAATAAAAAGCGTATTTTAAAATGTACAGAGTTGGAGAATATTTCACTATATTTCCAGATTAAAATAAAAATAGTCGGGTGCTTTAGGCAATTTTGTCGAACCATCAGAGTTAATAGAATATACAGGATGTTCCGTAATGGGTTCCAATATTTCTACTAGCCATTTAATGGGAGGTTTTCTTATAAAATTTTGCAATTTATAAAATAAAATAAACATAAAAAAGATTTAATTTAACTGGTTCCCAGCCCAGATTTAAACCCATGCCTCTAGTTTGAATACTCGTAATTAAATTGATTTCATATATTTTTATTTAAATTTATCATTTATTTGAAAATTTAGAAGAAATAAAAATAGTACTGTTATTATTTATCGATTCTAAACGAGAATAGCTCATTTTAATGTATATTTAATCTTAATAACTCAAAAATACACTAACAATTAGTTTGACAGAATTGTCACTTATTTAAAATTTTAGAAATAATAGTATTTTGGATGTCCAAAATATGAACTGTGATTGGTGCATTTCTTTTTTTTGCAGTTTTCTCACTACCTAGAATGTATATGAAATATATTCGTTCAGTTGAAGGCAATGACATACGTTTTGTAGTCTGTGCGTAGATAAGCTAATATTCATGTGTATAGAAAAAAACAAATTTATGTTGGAATTATCTTTTAAAGAATAAAATTCCGAAATAAACAAAAAGATGTTGTGGAACCACTTCATAATTAGTAGTTTTTTTTTATCGGATAATTCAAAACGCGCTAATGTAATTTTTAATTTCAATTTAGACTTTTCAGAAAACATCCATTATTTTACTGTCGTCTCTTGTTCTCTCAAACTTACCATACTGCAAATAAAGCTGTCTGGCAGACTCCATTCCAAGAACCTTCATATAACATAACGGCCTAAAACAAATTCTCAGGTGGCAACTTTCATAGGTTAGAAATAAATCAATTAATATTTCTAAGTTATGAAATGGTTTGTACTAGATTTTGACAATTTATTTTATTTTTGTAGACAGCAAATATATGACTTTCTAATTGGGTGTACAATTAAATTGTACGTATGCATTCATTATTTATATACAAAATATGTTATTTTGCAACAAATATGTCATCTTCGAAATAAATTATAAAAATTGATAAGAAAAATGCAAACTAAAATATTTAACAGTTTTATCTACAACTACTGAAATTGTGACAGTAAATAGACCATTCTAAATTTCGATGACTTTAAATATGTCATCAGGAGAGGATTAATATTGTTTTTACTTTTACTGAAATTAGTGAACTAATGAAAACATAAACATACCCATAAATTGATAACTTAATGACATATTTTTCAACGCTAACGTGCAATATTGTCGTGTGAGTCATTTACGACCAAACCGGTCCTGCTCTAATCTCTTAGGTCCCTCTATGTCTGATTTAGACCTCTCACGGCCTCCCCTTTTAGAATTATCAAGAATATACGGTACAATACATCAATCTCCGAAACCTCCCCAGAAATACGCCTATGGAACCCGGCAGCCGAAGGGATGATCATTCTGAAATGCAGTAAAAACCAATGAATGATCTCAAAATTGTAATTTTTTGAGAATGCACTTTGGTGCAGTGCACTATGGTTTCTAGGAACGGATTTTTTGGCCAAAAGTGATTTTTTCAACTTAAGTAAATACATTTTTAAGTGGATATATTAAAAATAAATACTCCAGAGCTCAAGAATCTTATCTGGGATTATTATTTGCGTGTCCCTTTTACCTAACTCTGATAACAACAAGTTGTAGTTTTTGTCGGTGGTCAGTTAGTGTAAAGAAGTCGCCGAGCGTAGACTAAGTTTAAAGCTGTGCTGTTGGTGTGATTTTTAAAAATTGGATTTTTAGTGAACTGAGGTATTACCATTAAGGTATGTACTTTTAATTGATATAAACAAAAATACGTAATTATTAACCCTAGTTTTTTAAATTAATTAATATACAAATAGTGTATATTTATTTAAAAAAATATAAATTCCAAGATTTAGGTAACCTGTAAAAATTCGGTGGAGTTTGGCCAAGATATTTTTATTACTATGATAACATTCTGTCTTTATCAGTGATTAGTATTCAATATAATTTTTCTGCTATTATCTGCTACCCTTTCTAAAAAAAAATATGTTTTTCCAGCCATGCATCGTTTTAAGAATGAAGACCTTTTGGAACTGTGGCTAAAAGAAAGAAACAAAGACGATCAATTTTCTCCTATTTAGCACCAGATTATAGAGGAAGGAGAACAAATAAGTCCATATAATAAGAAAAAAATTAAATTAAAAATGTATTCTTTATGTCGCACTTTTAATTAAAGATGGACTAAAAGCATTAAGAAACAGAGATTATTTAAAAAAAATCGATTTAACTAAAAAGGGACTGTGGTATTGAAATAAATGAACCTATGCCATCTATATCTTTTGGCCGTCCTACAATTTTGTTTTCTGAAAAATCAAATCGGTCAAACGCCCATTTCGACTAACTAAAATAATTAGAAAAATGCTGTTTTCGCCCAAAGAAGAAACTTTAAAATATACGCTTAAAGAAGCCCTAGAATTTATTGTAAATAACAATTTTAGTAAACAACAGTATTTAAACATCAGATACGGAGTTCTTTCAAGAAAATCTGATATGTATCCAAACTACAATGAAGTGTGAAAATGTAAATCCAAATAAAGACCAACCGATATTATTGTTTCTGATATTGTAGCATAAGTTCCTTTATCAAATCTTCTGGAACACACTTAAAAAAATTTTCACAAGAAGAGGCCACTATGCAGTACATGAAAATGATTAAGGAGAATGAACTTAGTGCAGAAATAGTATTTAGTTATGGCTTTGATGGAAGTAGAGGCCACTCGGCATACAGACAGAAATTCAGCACTCCGATGAGTCTTTATTTGTACCGATATTGTTTGCAGTCAAAAAATAATGTAATTTTGTGGAACAATAAAACTCCTCAGTCTGTCCGGTTTTGTGGACCACTTAAGTTAGAGTGTGCTTAAAAATCATAAGAACATAATATTAAAAGAGAAAAAATATTGACTTGAAAAATGAAAAACTAAAAGAAATAAAATTACCATTACCTTAAAATAAGCTAATAAATATTAAATGTATTCTTTTTATGAACTTATATGATGGAAAGGTACTTAATACTTTGATTGGTACAAAGTCAAGTCAAACTTGTCCAATATGTGGTGCTACTCCCCAAAGGGTTTTAAAAGTTGAGAACTCAAAAACAATGAACATCTTTAACCCAAAACCAAATATTTTACAATATGGAATAAACCCATCACATGCTTGGCTTCGTTTTTTCGAGTGCATACTATACATATCCTACAGACATGAATTATGTGAATGGAAAGTCAGAGGTACCGAAAATAAAAAAGGATTTAACAACAGAAAAAAAGTATACAAGAACGGTTCTTATCCCTTTTACATCTACATGTAGATAAACCAAAATCAAGTGGATTTGGCGGCAAAAATGATGGCAATACTGCTCGTAGAGCCTTTTGCAATACCAATCTGTTTTTGGAAAAAACGGATGTTGATGAAACCCTAATAAAAAATTTAAATCATCCTAATTTGTTTGTCTTGCCAGTACTAACTAGAAGCAGAAAAAATTTAATTTTTTGTCATGAAACTGCCTGGCTATACACGAAAAAATATTCCTGGTATCCTATGACTGCAATCATTCACGAAGTTTTAGTATATGGACGACAGGTAATGGAGATATTTCGTGGGATATTTCGAGGAAGAGGGATCTGAAGCCAGAAATAAACTTTAAAAATATGATCGACGATTTCACGATAGGAAAACGAGCCGACAGAATAATATCGAAGATGTGTTTCATCTCGCTATGGACACCTCAGATCCCATTATTTCCAGTATAAATTTACAAAAACGAATAAACAAACAGCAGAAGTTAAAACTTCGAGCGGAAGTTACAGAAATGCTTTTGGGACAACAACCACAAACTTTGGAACATGAAAATCTAGAGGATGATTATGACGATAATGAGGGGAAGAAAGAATTTTGGACGAAATAATGCTTGATCATTTGGACTCACTTGAGTTAGATATGGAAATGTGATTTTACTTTTTATTTAAATTACCTAATATAGTTTTAGAAAAAAGTTATTTATTATTTGAAATCTAGTTCTAAATGACCCAAAATGAGTTTTATAGGGTTAATATACTCCACTGAAAACAGTTGAGCCTATAATTTTGTTTTTAAATCGTGTTTTGACTTTTGGCCAAAAAAGTGGTTCATTGAAACCATAGTGCAGTGTAAGAAATGGAGGAGCTAGGCCAGAGCGTAACATTTGGGTATAAATAGATGGTCAAATGAAATACCAAACAGTAGAATTACTAAAATACATTAACAAAACACATGAACTCATATTCCTCGACCCGATAACGGTAAAGCTTTGCCGTTACTAAAAAGGAAAAACCAATTTTGACAAATAAACAACATATAAAGGATGAGTTTTTAGAAAACTGAGACGACCTGAATATCTCAGAATATAAAAATGTCATAAAAAATCTCAAAAGACGTCAATTTTTATCTTTTGAGATAACGTTGAGATGCCTATCACTCACAAGGCTCTTTCGTTCGCTGTTGGTGCAGTGTCCACCAGTGTCAATTACACCACCTTATTGTTTTTACACCGGACCAAACGAAAGCGTTGGTGTAGTTCATTCCTACACCAGTGGGACGAACGAAAGAACCTAATGTTTGTCTTCTGAGACTGGATCGTATTATCAGACTTCGGGAACCTATTCGTCGAAAATCAGAGCTGAAAATTTCAAGGGTATCATCAAGGTAAGTCATTCCATTTAAGAATTTTGAGAGTTGGTGTGTAGGGGGCGAGAGAAAGAGTGATACGCATCTCAAGGTTACGTCAGAAGATGTCTCTCTCAATAAAAATTTACGTGTTTGGAGAATATTTTTTTTATGGCAGTTCTGTTGTATATACTGAGACATTCAGGGTGGGTCCCCTTTTTAATAAACCACCCTGTATGTGAATATTTTTAGGCTTAAAAGTTAACGTTTGTTCTAGCAAGTTCTGACAAAAGCTTTTTTTTAAAGAATACTCTATAATTTGAACATTTAGAGTAAATTCCCAGAAATGTTTTGTGATAATCAGCTTTAACACCAATAAACATTCACGTGCATTTTCAAGATAAAGCGGGCGTAGTGCAGACATGTCGGTAATCGGTACCAACTAATAGTTTATCATAATGGTCATTGGCTATTAAGTTGTCTGTTGATGAAAGCTGGATTAATGAAATAATTGATGTTGAAAATTATTAGTGCAGGTAGTTTTAAATTTAGATTCGAGTAAAACTGAATACATCCATTTTTGTTTGTTATATTTTTAACAAAATTATAATTGCAGATGATGTATTATTAATGACGTCTCCAATAAAAATTTTTAGCAAAAAGAAAAAAACGAAAAAACCAATACTTTTTGTGCAATTGGAAAATCGTGTTTTCCCTAAAAATAATGGATTTATTCAGTTTTGCTCCAAATCTTCTCTTACTTCTCAAGTGAAATTTTTGTCAAGAAAAAAATAGATTATTTTATTTTGCTACAGTATTTGTTGTATTCAAGATAAAATACAAGACTTTAAACTTAGTGATGATAATGATTATATGTAATGTAAAACAATAGACTCTTGTTGTATATTTCACTCGATAAAAGCTAAAATAAACTGTGATTGGCACGATTGTACTTAGTCTTTTAGTAAAATAATAAAAATTATTATTATTATTAATGCCACGAAAAATGGTTTTGTCAAAATCCAGCATTCAAATTCAAGGCACAGATTCCACCTCTACTTCAAGAAATGGTCTGTGCCTAAATGAATTAATCATAGAAATCAAAGACTTCTATGATAAATCCATTAACCTGAAAATTTGTTAAAGGATGTTGGAAACAGGCCAAAAACTTTAGAAAACTAAAAATCACACACAAATAATATAAACATTGTGTTTAAACAATAAATTATTTTTCATCAAAATTGTTGAAATAAATAGTGCATTAAGATACCTCAAGTTCATCCCATGCAGTTACAATCTACAAAATTGTAAAACGTTCCCACATATCTACAGAAAATAATTTATTTTTGTGCAAACATTACAGCTGAAAATCTGATGATGCACCCTTTAAACATTCTCCTCAAAGTAACCATAGCACTATAGTACATTATTGATACCACATGTCCTTATAGTTCTCGGTGGCAGAGTCAGACTGTTCACAGTGTTCACCTTATTTTTTTCCCATGCCAGCCTATCTCAAAAAAATATTTTTTAAAGTATGACTAGGAGTTATATACGTAATTTGAAATTTATTAATTTCTTATTCAAGCATTTGTATTATTGTTTTTATCATTGATAAAAGTTTGTTTATCTAATATAGTTGTATTCAAGAGATCAACTAGATCAATACCTCGACAGTTTACACAATGAAACTTTAGAGACCGTTTCTGCATCGGTATACATTTTATTTTTGATGATGATAATTCAGAACATTCACCACATAAATAATTTCTACATAAATCACAGGCAAAAACAGGATTTTTAAATCATTATTGTCGACTTTATTTTGAACTCTATGCATTCAATATGTGTATCCATTTTATCGCCTTTCAGGTTAGTCTTAAAAAGTACCAATATATATATATAAAACTGGTTTACCTACATTTATTTCAAAGTCAAACCATACTTTGGTAGGTTGTGCACTAATTATTGAGTAAACACTACTTATTAGGGTGCTTCATTTTTGGGCAATATTTTTTTTTCTGTGCTACCTGAAAATCTGAAACTTATAAAAAATAAAAAAATTTACCGCCGGGTAAAAGGTTCTAAATGCAATAGCGACTTAGCTCATTCGAAAATTCGAATTTCCATTTAAATAACATAGGAATTTTTTTTTTGTTTCAATTTGATTTTTCGATATAAAATTTTTTTTTGGGAAAAACCTGTGTATAGTTTTTATAGGGCATGAAATTCGCTACAAAAAGTTTTTGTGAGTGAATCCCCTGCGACCAACAGTTTTTGAGTTATAGAGCTAGAAAGATGAATATCAATTATATTTCACATCAAATCTTCTTTAAACTAAAATTTAGTATTTTTACATCTAATAATAACTTATTATAAACATTAGGACGCTACAAAATTTAATAGTTTAACATAAAGATTTGATGTGAAATATAATTAATATTCATCTTTCTAGCTCTATAACTCAAAAATTGTTGGTTGGAGGGGATTCACTCAGAGAAACTTTTTGTAGCGAATTTCATGCCCTACAAAAGCTATTCACGGGTTTTTCCTAAAAAAAATTTTTAATATCGAAAAATTAAATTGAAACAAAAAAAAAATTTCCTATATTATTTAAATAGGAAATCGAATTTTTGAATGAGCTAAGTCGCTGTTGCATTTATGACCTTTTACCCGGCGCCATATTTTTTTATTTTTTATGAAGTTTCAAATTTTCAGGTAGCACAGAAAAAAAAAATATTGCCTGAAAATGAAGCACCCTACTACTTATAATTTTTTATTATTATTTAAAATTATAATGTCTCATGATTTTGATATAAAATTCATTCGATTTAGGTACTTGTAAGTATCTTAATGGACTCATATATGTGTCTAATTAAGTACTAATATAAAAAGTAGCAAAATGTTATTTTTACTAAAGAGTCTGGCCTGTAAAAATGTATTTTTAGAAATATAGACGAAATTTATACTAAATTAACAATGCAATTAAAACAAACTCCCTAAATTTAAGACCAATTATAATAAAGATTGTTAATTTAGTATGAACGCATATTTCTAGATGTTCCAATAAAATGGATAGAACAAATTATTGAAAAATTAAGACACGTTCCGTTGTATCCTGCAAGAGACAACAGCATTTTCTGAAGAAAAAATATACCTTTTTAGCCCATGCTTGATAACCAGAAGATAATTCAGCTTGAGATAAAATTTGGGCACCAGTAGATCCTGTGAACTGGCCCAATTGTTGCTTGCTTGTTGCCCAAGACTGCATCTATAACAAAATATTATATGATTTATACATTAACGGATTATATTATAAAACGCATTGAGTTATCCCTAAAAACTTAATAATATTTACCTCTTTGTTAGACTTATACATCTGAGTTAGAGCTTGTACATCATTGGGGTTTTCTTGCAATCTTCTCATAGCTGATAGCCTTTGAGAAACAATTGATCCAATATCAACAGCAGCCTAAAAATATGAATTAATATTATTTATATATACAGATAATAATCACTAAATGAAAGCAAAAAAAAGAAAAGTACAAATTTTATTTCTGTAGACCTGAATAGAAAACGGTCCAGTTCATATCAACAGGATATTGAAAAATAAAGTTAGTTTGTCCGATAAAACATGCTCCAGTTTTGTTTCCTTTTTAATGTTAAAGTTTATTTAAAAATAGGTTTTTTTGTTAATATTTATCTAAAAGATTTTTGCCGATTTTAATACTTTATAAGGTGTCTTTCGGATGTTACAGATGATCCAGTAATTCCAGAGGCGCGCTCACGGGGCACTTCGATTAGTTTTCGGCACCCAAAATATCGCCCAGTAGTTTTTAGAATTTTTCACATATATATTTTTTTAATAACCTAACTAAAAATACAACTTTTTTGTTTCTTAAATTTTTATTCGTATCTTACTTTGGATCACAGTTTATTGGACAAAGTACTTTTATTTTTCGATAAACTATCAGCTGGTGAAATCCAGAAGATATAAACTAGACTAACTTTGAACAGTATGGTACAAATGGAACAAGTTGACTTCTGAAAAAAATCCTGTATCACGCCATTTTTTATTTTCAAACAAGCCTTAATCTGTGTGAGCGTGATGACGTCATCAATAATTTGTTTGAATAGTAAATGTAGTTCTTGCAAATACATCATTTAAAAGGTGTTTTAATTATCTATTCAACCATGTCAATAATTTTAGGTAATTAAGGTTTGTAAACTGTAATTTTTTTTATAAAAGGTGCCGATGGTGTGTTCTAAAAGAGTAAAATGTTTCTTCTACATTAATAGTTAATAATTTTGAGCTACACCAATTTTGGATGAAAGGAGTCACTATCGACCAGTTCTTTAATATTTGCCATGTATCACAGCTACAGAAAACAACAAAATTTCAACTTTAGGCTTAATTGAAAACGGATTGTTACAGTATAAATTAAAATGGAGTGGGCCTAGAATAGTACCTTGGGGAACTCCATATCTTACCAATAAGAAACTACAACCATTTGTGTTCTTCCATTTAAATAGGTTTAGAGGAACATTTGTTATACCATGGTTCTCTCTAGAGCAGAGATTCCCAAATTATTTTGGGCAAGAGACCACTTTTCCAAAATGAACTGATACCTTAGACTAGTGGTCGCCAACCTGTCGATCGCGAGCTACCGGTAGCTCGCGGAGGCAATTCTGGTAGCTCTCACAACGATTTTAATTTAAAAAATACAAACTGCAAAAATCAGAGATGCTTCCGAAAATTCCACAAAAAAATCTAATTGTCATAATATTAAACATAAACAGCGGCAACGTTGCGGTGAGCGATCTGCCGCTGACGCCATCAAGCTAGAATCGGCTAGAACCGACCAGCCGGACCAGCGCGTTAGTATTCGAGAACGATTAGGATTGCTTTGAATGGGATACATACGCACGGCGCGGCGACATTGCGCTTAGTTTAAAACTGAACGCTTAACCAACGTCCAGCGGTTGGGTTAGTAGAGAACAACAAAAAATAATATTATGGCAAGCAGTTGTAAGAAGGTAAAGACATACCACTTTCATTCGGAATGGAAAGAACAATACTTTTTTACAGAAGTTAAAGATAAAAATGTGTGTTTGTTATGTAATACTTCGATCTCCGTTGCTAAAAAAGGAAATATTGAGAGACATCATAAAACTGTACATTCTAATTTTTAAAAATCATTCCCACTACATTCTGCCGCCAGAAAGGAGAAACTGAAACAGTTAAAAAAGCAGTTAATTGGACAACAATCAATATTTTTAAGAACAGTCGACAAAAATAAGGCTGCAACTGAAGCATCTTACCGTGTGTCCCAGATAATTGCACAAAAAAAGAAACCTTATGAAGACGGGGAAATGATAAAACAGGCGTTTTTAGAAGCTGCTGATTCGTTATTTGCCAACTTTAGAAATAAAGACGAGATAGTTTCAGCTATAAAATCTATGCAACTTTCTGCTAATACAGTGATGAGACGTGTAGAAGTAATGAGCAATGATATTTTTTTTACAGTTAAGAACTGACTTAGATAACTGTGTTTATTTTTCACTTTAACTGGATGAATCAACAGATGTCGTTGACACTGCCCAGATGGCCGTGTTCGTCAGGATGGTTTTTAGTGATTTTACGATTAAAGAAGATCTTTTGAAGTTTATTCCACTGAAAGGACACACTACTGGACATGGGTTGTTTTCTCATTTAAAAAATATTATTTCTTCCGAGAAAATTCCAATATCGAAAATGGAAGGCTTGACAACCGATGGCGCTCCAGCTATGGTGGGTTGTGATAAGGGTCTGGTGGTGTTATGTCGTAAAGATGAAACTTTTCCGCAATTTCTCTGTTACCACTGCATTATCCATCAGCAAGCATTATGTGGAAATTTCCTGAAACTAAACAACGTTATGAAACTGGTGGTAAAAATCGTGAACAAGATTAGAGCTCAAGCGTTACAAAGAAGATTATTCAAAACCTTGGCCGATGAAGTTGACTGTAATTACGGGGACCTACTCCTTCACTCTGAAGTCCGATGGTTAAGTAGAGGACGGGTGCTGAAACGTTTTAATGATGTCCTATCTGGCATAGTTCAATTTTTCAAACAACGCGATGAACCGACTCCGGAACTAGAAAATTCAATCTGGCTTAGAGATTTTGGTTTTCTCGTGGACATTACAGAGAAATTAAACGAACTTAAGTTGCAGCTTCAGGGGAGAGACAAAGAACTAGCGGAAATGATTTCTGATATAAAAGCATTTATCAAAAAGCTGGAGTTTTGGGAACAAAACCTAATTAACAGCGATGCCAAGCATTTTCCTATTCTTTCAGAAAAAATATCTCAAAATCCATTAGAACCCTATGACAGCAAATATCATGTAGAAATAGTTTCTACCCTGAAGAATAACTTCAAAAATCGTTTTAAGGATTTCAACGAAATGGCTTTAGTAGCACAGTTTGTTGTTTCACCCTTTATGGAAATGATATCCAACAGTTTGCAACTTGTGTTATGCAGAACTTTGGCGAAGACATCGCTGCAACAGAAATGGAAGTAATTGATTTTCAAAATGATTTAGCCTTAAAATCGTTAGTCTCAAGTACCAAATGTATCTGGCCTATTGTAAGTAAAGACAAATATTCAGTTCTATGCCGTGTTGCCTTGAAAGTGAAAGCATTATTCAGTTCAACCTATTTGTGTGAATCTTCTTTTTCCAATATGAAGTTTATTAAGAACACATATCGCAATCGACTTACAGATGAACATTTGGATAATTGTATTCGAATGGCTGTATCAAATTATACTGCAAACATTAAAAAAAATTATCGATGAGTCTGAGTGTCAGCCTTCTCATTGAACGTGCTTTTTTATTTTTCAATATTTATGTTCATGATAGTGCGTTACTTTTTTGTTGTTATTATTAACTATTTTTAAATCTTACGTGACATGCCGTTGTGGCTGGATAAAAGTTTGTGTTTATTTTTCAAACACCTTCGTTTGGTAGGTAGGAATGTAGCTATGAACAAGTACGTACTAGTAATATTAGTTATTTTGTTATTAGTTTATTATTAGTACCTATGTATTATGTATTACCAGTTAAATAGTAAAATAAATACATATAATGATAAATTAACTGTGGATTATTTCATTTACGTTGCGTTACGTGGCTTCCGTGTGGGTAGCTCGCTGTTTATTCCAAAATTAACAAAGTAGCTCAACACATTGAGAGGTTGGCGACTACTGCCTTAGACCCTCATAGCCAAATTGCATTAAAAATTTCTATCTCTAGTTTTTTCCTATTGATACAAAATGCTTACCAATCTAAAAACTTTGCGGTTGGTTAAGTGAGTAAACTTGACATCATATTCTCATCAAAATTTAACAAAATAAATAGTCATAAAATTCAATAAAAATACTTAAGTAGATAAAACATTAAAATCGCAGAGTAAAGATAAAAAATAAAAAAAATCAAGTGTGATGGATGAACCTGTTGACTACCAATCTAGATAAATCTGGTTCAATATTGGTGAGTTGAAGCCTTAAATCTCTTTTCGTGTCTGCCATCATAAAACTCCCAGTAAACCTGCAAATAAAAAAAAAATATATGTTTAAGAACCTACTTAAAAAACAATAATAAAACTGTTAAATTTGCACACGAGGTTATTTTTATCACCTAGGCACTGGATGTTTTTTAGGTATGCTCATGAACTTACTCATTGATAAACTTGGATATAGTCACTGTGGTATAGAAAATTTGTATTAGGTACCTATTAAAAAACTTAAACAAAGAAAAATAAACATTTACAATTTTAGGTAACAACTTTTCTAAAATAATTTCAAAACATACTTGTAAGAATATTAAAAGATTTTTGGTACTTACCCTGTTATTTTTTCATAAACTGCAGAAATGTATGAAATAATATGAAATAATATCACATATTAATTCACTTAAAAAATAGTAGTGAATATTATCAAAAATTATCTGGTTGAAAAAAAAAAATGGTTAAAATTAGAAATAAATACAGTGATGCTTAAAATATCTGAGAAACGTGCATTTGAAAATAAAAAACGTACGGATTTCAGGAGTTTTCCAGAAGTCAACAAGTTATGAAAAAATGAATGTATTCCTTTCCCAGGTAACCAGCTGACGTCATTTGCAGGCCAATATTTGGTCACTTAATGTCATTGACGTCACATGACCTTAAAATGACGACATTTTGACGTACTAGCCAGAACGTCAATTAGACGAACTAAATAGGACGTCATTTTCACATTTATTAGAGAGTTGAAGTGTTTCCAGTACGTTAACGTAAACGTGAACGTCAACGCAGAAAAATAATGTTTACGTTGAAGTCCAAAATATAAGTTGAAGTTGTTAAACGCATCGTGACATTTACGTACCATGACAGATAATGCCAATTAATATTAGGATTTCTTCTTTTCCAATTAAAAAGAGGTTATTTTGTTTGAGTTACGTACATACGCCACAACCCGTAAGCTTACGTATTTACGTAGATGTGAACGTGAAGGATATTTGAATACGCATGCACAGATGTCAGTTTTTACGTAAACGTTTACGTTCATAGCATCACTTCAACCCTCTAATAAAGGCCACTAATGGTCTTAATGCGCGAGAAATGTAAAAAATTCCACATTCCACTATTTATATGACCAAGAGATAATTACAAATTATTCCTTAAATTTAAAACTAACTAAAACTTAATTTTGCTTTCTTATATTCATCCTTAGTGTTATTTCTACACGTTTTTCGCAATTTAACGTCCAATTTCTCTGCGCCAGCAGATATACACCAAATTGTTAATTATTTGTGTATTTATTAAAACCATCGATACACATCATACATGTCTAATGAAAATGTATTTTTTATAATTTTTAAAAATACGATCAAAATTCAATATTCGGTTTAAAAAGTGGCGCGTCAAGAACTGTTATCTGTCATGCGTTCAGGAACAGTTGTCAACCGAATACCGCGTCTACAAGAGCATGACCCGAGTTCCCAGATCCTGAGCAGAGATAACATTGATATTGGTGTTCTTTAGTCACGTGATGTATGATCCAGCGTCATTGGTTAATTCATGTTGTTTCTCGATTCTCGTCAGTCGTCGGTTATCCATATTCTCTTCTTATTTTCCATTCTCGCTCCAACTCTATGCCAAAAATAGTGAACAGACGTAGTCGCGGTCGCTGGTCGTCATTTTTCGGTTTTCTTTAGCTTGATAGTTTGTTCTTATTCTAAAGTTTGTTGCCTTTGCTGCTATAGATATATTGATAAAACACACGAAAAAATTACTATTATTAATTTAAAGCCGTGTTCAATTGTCTGTATAATAGTGAGTGCACCTTATAACTAAGTGATTTACAAGAATATTTCATGTTGTGGAATTTGCGGAAGATGGGATTTTGGAAATAATCGTCAATAAGTGGTATACGCACTACTTTGAAATGTATTGTTTGTTTAATATTATTTATAATCCTGTAGTAGACATTTTTGCAGTTTCCATCTTTTCGATTTTTAATAAATATGTGTTTTAAAAGTGCTTAAGTCCATTTTGTCAATACCATCTCCTTTACCTATATTCAATTGGGATTGAAAATTGTCATTTTTACGATTTCATACAAGTGGAAATGAACATAGTTTTGACAACTATAAATATTACACCTATTTTTTTTTTAAATTTACAGTATTTTTATGTAACTGGGTGTTTGCAGAAAGCTTGATTGTTGCTAACAATTGATTAAATTTTAATTGACGTCGAGACTAGTGATATTTCAAGTTTTATCATCTCTTACCTTCAATTAAAGTGTAATAAACGGTTAACGTTAATTAAGTTTACTGCAACTGGTCATAAATATGTAAAATTAATTTTACAGAAAATCAATTCGACGACATTAAAACATCAGACTACCTTCTTGTAAGACGTACTAATAATGTCATTTTGACGTCGTAATGTGACGTCATTCGTCTGTGATTTAGAAGGTCATAATAACGTCATTCGGAAGTCATTTTGGAAGTCATCCCGACGTCAGTGATGACCAAATAATGACATACAAATGTCGTCAGCTGGTTTCCTGGGTTCATTTGCACCATACTGTATATAATTTACAAACAAAATGACAAATTCGACAATTCAGTACAAACAATACAATTGAATATAACGTTGTTTCATTAGTACAAAAAATGGAACAAATAAGAAAGTTACCAGACAAAGGCGTAACCATAAAATTTTGTAAAATAAAAAAAATGACCATTTTACTAACCTGATTGAGAGGTGTAGGAAAAAGTTGCGGTCCTGGGGGAGCATTAGGCGGAGCAGGAACTGTCGGAGGATCAACAGGAGGTAAAGGAAGAGGTTTTTTTTCTATCTCTTTGACAGGCAACGGTGGTGGTTGTGCGGGGACTGGTGCCGGTTCAATAGGTAACGGAATACTGCTAGTGCTAACTGTTGAAACCAAAGATACTCCTGATGGTAAAGCATCTGGTTCTTTCTCAGTTGGAGGAGACACTGGCAGCCATTCTTCACCTTTTCTGTGATGTTGGCCACTACTGACTGGAAACTGTATTCGTAATTCACTGGTGCGCTCTAGTGCTGATTTAGTAGGAAGTGGTACGGAATTCTGAAATAAATTGTGAAGTAAATTAAAAATATATATATATATATATATATATATTTTAATTCCTGGTATCTTTTCTTTACATCCGATCAGTAAATCAACGCTTTTCATTGAATAAATTTATCTGGTTCCAGACACGTCAATATAATTTTTAATTTGAAATAACAAAAATTATTTCGAAGCCAATGTCACATATTGCCCCTTTTTTAATTTTTAATTTATTTGTTGAAAATATGGTAGATATTAATTTTTATTTACTAAATATATTAATTTGCCTGATGTTCGATTTACATACTTTTCGCCATGACAAATGAGACTGCTAAGTTTGGGATGTGGACTCCTTTTACTCTTTTCACTCCATATCTAACTTCACATCAATGAATTACAATGATTTATCATTGACTGAAGTTAGTTATGGAGTAAAAGGAGTCCACCTTCCGAACTCAACTTTAATGAGACAAAGGTGTCAATTTTGTCGCAAGGTGACAAAGCTGTCACTTAATGTCAGTTCACGGAAAACGTAAACTTTGCGGTTAATTTCGAAGGGCAAAAGCTACTTTGAATAGAGATCGTAGAAAAAAAAACATTTAAACACAAACAGAATTAGAGTAAAAATGTATTATAATAATATCTGCCACTATATTATGTGCCCATAAAATTGAAGATTAGATACCTCTTAATATAATATGCATGAAAGGTACTAAATTATAAGTTTTTTTTAATTTGTCTCATTTTTGCGAAACACATGCGATGGCTTCAGGCCGCACAGGTTAGGTAAATTAGGTATTTTAATTTTTCTCATTTTATGTATAATTTTTCTGTGAAGCAACCCGCGATTGCTTCAGGCCATACAGGTTAGGTAAATTAGTAAGGTTTTTTTTTTAATTTTATGTATAGGAAATTATTTTGATAAAGATCGGCTGCATAGGACAGGTTTTTTGTTTTTCTTATTTTATGTATTTTTGCGAAGAAACCCGCGAGACTCCAGGCTGCACAGGTTAGGTAATTTAGTTATTTTTTTTAATTTTTATCATTTCATGTATAACTTTTTTGCAAAACAACCCGCGATGGCTCCAGGCCGCACACGTTAGGTAGTTTGGTTAAGTTTTTTTTTCAATTTTTTTCATGTCATGTATAATTTTTTTGCCAAGCAACATGCGATGGCTCCAGGCCGCATAGGTTAGGTAAATTAGTTTGGTCTTTTTGTAATTTTTTCTCATTTTATGTATATTTTTTTTGCCAAGCAACCCGCGATGGCTTCAGGCCGCATAGTTTAGGTAAATTAGTTTAGTTTTTTTTTTTAATTTTTTCATCTTATATATTTTTTTGCGAGGCACGCGCGACGTTTCCATGCCGCACATGCCGTAAATTGGTTGTTTTTAATTTTTCTCATTTTATGTAGGTTAAATTAGTTAATTTTATTGTAATTATTATGACATTTTCTTAAGAATAAACATATAATTTTTAATCAGTCATGTTTTATTGAACAAATATAAAAAAAAATTTTTGGGGATAGGGGGTAAATTTCATGAGACCGCCGGGATTTTTTTTTCACTTTTGTTTTTGGAAAACTTGTTTACTTACGAAAAACTTTTTGTTATTCAAATGTGGATTCACCATATAACTTTTATTTAAAAAATGTTTTGATAAAAGAGATAATGGACTTACTCGCACTAATGGGTCACCCGGTAAGTAAAAATCAATGACAGAACAGTTTCATTTTTGTTTGGCACACAAATTACGTCATGATAATACAGTGCATTGTCAACTCAGCTTAATATAATTCTTGTATTTCATAATTCCAGCGCCAACTGCAAACCGTTATATACCAAATTATTAGTCAAAGCGAATGACACTGACAGTAATGTCTCCCGAAAATATGAGTTCAAAATCACCCCCAAAATATGCACACGTGCAAGATACTCTAACTGGTGCTCTTTTATTAACAGAAGTCGGCGTAGACTTGAGAGGATGTTTTGTATCAGGCAATAAATGCATTAATCAACTTAAAAATATTGTCAACGGTACAGAAAAAGCAGTCAAAGCATTACAAATTACGTCAAAATGCGCTTTGGAACAAGCTTATAAAATGGTTTCGACAATTAATTCAAGTAAACCAACCAAGGAATGTGAAGAATTAATTGGAATCATACAGAAACAATTAAATGAATTAGAGCAGAGTGTAGGATATAAAGAGTTAATTGATATTGATGTTCATCAGGTATTTTTTATATTATAGTAACAATTTCTGAAATTATTTAATCAAAAACCATTTTTACTATTAAAACATTAAAGTTAATTGATTACTATAAATAATGAACTTAAAAATTAAAATATATTTTTGTCTTAGAAAAATGACAAAGTCAGGATGTTAGAAACAAAGCAAAAATCTTGTGATAATCTCACTTGGTTTTGTAATACCAAAAACTCAAAATGTGACATAAATGAAAAATATCCTGGAAGTATTTCACGAGAATCTCTGATCGACCTAAATACAGTAGTAAACTTACCACCAGTTCCAGAGGATATTTTTACAAGTTTTTCTACAAAACCAACAAGATCTTCCAGTTTGTCTTCATTAAAGAGTATGAGAAAGGTAATATTGGCTTTTTAATACAAAAACCGATGCACATAATCGATTATTTATGCAGTGTTGACTAATCGTCAGAATAGTTGAGGAATGTAGGAAGTTTAGAAATTTTTCTTTTGTTGGCTGTTACTAAAAACAATTAATTTTAAATGTATATAACAAATGAGAAATATTGAATTCCTTTGTGTATAAATAATACATCTCTAAAAAGAACATCTCAAATAGTCATGCAAAATAAAACTGTAAGTAGTAGAAATAAAAACTGTAACTATAAAACTACAAAACAAAAATAAAGACAAAATTTTAAAAGTACAGAAAACACAATACACAATGTTAGGAATGTGGCCAATTTAGTTAATAAATGCTCGGAATATGTTTCAGATTATTAGCTTAGGGAAAACTTAATTAGTTGGTAGTAGTTTGATGAAAGAGTAATGTCATTGATAATGTGCAACGATTTTTGTATTAAAAAGCCTATAATTATTGTCTAATATAATGTATATAATTAAAGTAAAATGACAATAATTATATTTTAATATATATTCATGTCATATTATATTCTTAAATCATTGACATAATTAAATTAAATTAAAAAGTTTTGTTTTAGGTAAAAATGTTTTTACAAAAAGCGGAAAGTTCTGATGACGATGACAGCTCTGAAGTTGAAGAACATGAATTTCCAAAAATTGGTTCAATTCCAAAAATATCAATTGGTGATGCAAAAGGTAGTCGCGATGATGGTGATGAATTAAAGTTACCGAGTCCACTCAGTAAAAAATTATTGGGAAATATCACAGAAGAAACTAAGTTTGATGAATAATATGAACAGATATTAATGTCAAATCAAATGTTTTCAGTGTTTTTAGTATTTGAATAACTAACTAGACTGTACTTGTAGGGTGCTGTTGTAGAGGACATTAAGATTTTTAATAAAACTGTCCCAAAATAGAAACGCATTTCAGTCAACTAATTGTACTCTAGACACAGTAATCTGTAACAGGTGTTATAAGGTTTACTTTCGAGAAACCAACAATTTTATTGTAGGGTGCTGTTGTAGAGGACATTAAGTTTTATAATAAAACTCCCAAAATAGAAACGCATTTCAGTCAACTAACTAATTATACTCTAGACACAGTAGTCTGCAAAGACTATTATAGGTTTACTTTCGAGAAATAAATTTTATTATTAGTCCAAATTTAAAAATTTTAAGGTTTGTTCCAACATAAACCAAATTAGTTTACATACGGTCGGGATTCTGAGCAATGTAGAATTTGTGTTCCAACAAACTTTATACTCAACTATAAGAAAGCCTAGTGCTTTAACACAATCAAAACTAATCACAAACCGATTTGTGTATGGTCAAATCAGTTCCTAGGTCTCAATAGGAACAAATTCTCAAGACAGGCGCAAAGCTGCAATAACCTGCAGAGCTATTCTTGACACTTTGGAAACGTTACAATTGAAGGGCTTATCGGAATAACATGATAAGCCACAACATTAATTTATTAAGGAAACACGTCTTCAAAGGTTAAAATAAACTTTTATAACTATTACAACTTTGTTAAAATGTAATCCCTTGATTGATCGGCTAATTATGGTATTTTTTAATCGTAAAACGGTCCAAAATGGCATCCTCCATATGAAGAGCTTTTTAAATGACTGTGCTACTCCAAACTGTAAAGTATATTTCTTAGGTATTTTAAATAAAAGTGTTTAGTGGTTTTGCAAGTAATTAATTTTTTTATGGAAAAGATTTAAAAAAATATTTAGTTTAGTAACAATTTCAAAAACATTTTATTGCATAATTTTATGAAATTTACTTATTTGGAAATATTAGTAAAATTAACTGAATTAAATCTAATTTAGAATCGTAAATTTAATTAGAAGTACAGAGTTCCTAATTAAAATTTGATTTTATGGATTTAGGTGCCTGCTATATAATTATTTTAACTCAAGACACTAATGTAAGAAACACGCTTACCTTTATATTCATAGTGATAGAAGTTGGACGGTCTTTAATTTGAAAAGGGTGATGAAAAGGCTTGTCAGTATCACTATCACTATCGTCTTTTTCAGAAAAACTTGATAACTCTCCTAGTTCTTCTTTTTTAGAAAGCGTTTTACAAAAATCAGTCAATTCTTCAATGGTTTTTCCACCAGATTTAATGGCTGCTATAACTTTTTCTTGTGCTTGTGGTCCCAAAGTTAAAGCAGCTGGTAAACTACCAGATTTCATCATGGTTATGGCATTTTTCCTGGCGATTTCTAAAAGTTTTTTCTTATCGAATCTAGAGTCTCTATCGTTTGAAGGTGACCGCCTTCGATCTCTTTCACTATAACCCCGATACCTGTTGATTAAATAAAACTCATATTACATGATATACCTATATTTATACAGGATGTTAATACATGTAGATAATAAAAGTGACCAACTTTAAGTTTTAATTCTAAGATTTAAAAATGGGTCAAATTCTCTTTTTCAACCATTATTCTACCCCACATAACTTTATATTAAACTGGAAGAGAAAAATCAACATAGCAAAACCATATAAACGAAAGAACGCCACAAAGCGAGATAATGTTTGACACATGTTAGTATCTAAATAAATTAAAGGGGATAGTGGACTTAGAACAAAAATACTAATTAGTTTGTTATTTTGCTGTCAGTTTTATCCGTAGTGTTACGTCTTAACTACAGTCACATGTTTCATTTAAAAAGGCATGTAATAAAAAAGAAAAACATTGCATTCAACTGATATTTAATATGTTTTAGTCAAGTATTCTTAATATGTCAGTGACTTGCATAGTTTTAAATAATTGTGGCAGCAGTCCTTCATTAACAATATTTCTACATTCAATTGATTTAAACAATTTATCAGCTAAAATAAGACATGTACTAAAACTAGATGATTTGGCAGATAGCAAAATCTAATGTGAAAGTGTTGTAAACATTTTTTTAACATGTGAAGTGAAGGAAAATAATTTTATTGCCTTATTAATTAATAAAACTGTTTTAAGTAAGCAAGATTCTCTGCAGAGTGTAATATGGATAAGGAAAAATTGCTGATCTGAATTTATGTAGAGTGAAGGATATATATCTTAGACTGGGCCAAAAAAATAAAACAATTTTTTTTCTTAGCGGAACTATGAAAATATTGTTCATGACGACAAAAAAAAAATTTCCTGAAAGTTTGAGCCCTTAATAATAATATTAAGAAGTGCATCATTGCGGTTATTGATTTTTCAACAGTTGTCGCGTTTTTGCATAAATTTCGGACTTGTAGGAAATTAAATTCCCCACACAAAAGCTCTCTTAGTAAATTTTCGTAAGACGAGTCTATTCTTTGTAATCTTAATATTTAAGTTCATTTTGGAAATCCCAAATGCAAAGTGAAAAATTGAAAATATATACCAATGTTTAAGGCTCGATTACAAAGAATAGACTCGTCTTACGAAAATTTACTAAGAGAGCTTTTTTGTGGGGAATTTAATTTCCTACAAGGATAAGAGATGAAAATTTTTTTTAAAATTGACCATCCGAAATTTATGCAAAAACGCGACAACTGTTGAAAAATCAATAACTGCAATGATGCACCTCTTAATCACGTTTTTCTCGAAATCATGTTTTCTGGAGATACAGGGGTCTTTCATAGGACGGTAATATAGAAGGTCTGTTCCAACAACGATCCGAAACCAGTCATTGGCACCAGGATTCTGTGCAGTAGATTATTTAGTCCTCCAAATTCATACTGCTCACAATCCTGGTGGCAATAACTGGTTTCTGATTGTTGTTGGAACAGACCTAATTGGTATGTTAATTAATGATGTAAAAAATATAAATATTTGTTACAAAATAGTTGTGAGTTGTGTATTAATAAACCAATAGTGTCATTATAAATTAGAAGAAAAAATCAAATATTTTTTTGATAATCAGGTAGTTATTAAAAAATACCCTAAACATTTTAGAACATGTTCTTATTCTCTTCAATAGATTTTTAGTTGTAAAAAAAGTCATCACTATCTTCAATCAATCAATACTATGTAATAATTTTATTATACACCTTATAAACTGCTTTTAGTCTACCCTTGATTTTTTCATTATACTTTGTGGCTGCTTCTAAACAACTCTGTAGCATATTAGCAATACTTGAAATAACACAAAAATCTAAACACAGTTCTACTCAAGTTTGCTATTAAAAACTACAAAAATTAAGCCTTATTATTTTCACTTAATCTCTCGCATATAAAACTTGCATTTTTAGAATATGTTAATAATTTAAACCCTTTAGGTGAATGGCAGGCAATAAAATGGTATATTTCATTGGCAAGTCTTCTACAGCTTATTTCTGGTCTAATTTTAATGGCATCACATGCTTGTTCATCAGCCTACCATGTTATCAGTCAGGAATCAACAATTCAGAAACAGTTTATTTTAAATAGTCTGTGCTTGACAAGTGTTTTCTCCAGTAGTCTTACATTGTCATCTGAATGTTAGTAAATTGCCGCATTGGAAAAAACCCTACTTTAAAAGAATAACATGGCAAACGAAATTTGATCAGGACTTATATGACCTATGTCAACTTCATTGGTGTATGCCTGATTTAACATAAATTTAAAAATCTAATTACTTCTTTATTTACAGGTATTTTTTTCAAAATAATATTTTAGTACATTCTAGGAGAGTCAAAATATTAAATCTGAAAATTCACTAATCATGTACTAAGTTAATTTGTGATGTAATGAATCAATTATTATTTGAAGTCGTTTTACAGTATGGTAAATGCTTCAGAGAAGAAATGGACTTCTAGATCTTCAAAACATAGGCAAAAGGAAGGATAGGATTATTAATTTTGTTACCTATGTAGTTGATAAATATATAAAACAATTATGAAGCTAAATTACTACTTGTAGTTGTAAAAGTGAAATATTAATAGCCACAGTGATTTTTTAGATAAAATTTAAATAAGTAATTAGATTTTTGTCAAAGCTAGGGATCGACCGATATGTCTAGTGCGATATCAGCATATGTCTAATCAAGATAACAAATATTTCAATTGCTATAAATTAAAATACAAATATTAAATAAAATATGTTAAAATGCAACAAAATTAAAGTTTGTGTTCTTTTTGAGGTTAGACGATTTCTTGTGCTTCCATATACAGGGTGATTCATTAAGAGTAGTGACCAGTCATATCTCAGAATATCTTGAAGTAGCTTTTTTTTTAAGAAATGCAAAAACGGGTCGATATTTATTTCAAGAGGGGACACCTTTCTATAGTATCCTCAACTGTCATATGTCATTCCTCTCCCCTCCGTCAATCTAATCAATGCAACGTAAAAAGGGAAAGTACCAAGAATGACACATCACCAAAAATGTTATTTTATAGAAAATTATGACTGTTCATTGCATTACTTTTTATTTTAACACACTCTAGAGGGATAAGAAACTGTTACGTATTGTAAAGTGTGACACTTTATTTAAAAGCTAATAACAAAATAAAGTCAGAAATAATGTAATATATTTTTTTTTAATATTCCAATAGTTTTTTATCCCGCTAGAGGGTGTTAAAATGGAAAGTAACACAATATTGCTGAATTTCCCATAAAATCACATTTTCGGTTGTGTTATTGTTGGAATTTTACCTTTTTAAATGGTATTTGTTAAATTGAGGAAGGGAAGAGGAATGATATCTGACAGTTGAGAATAGAAAGGTGTCACCCTTGAAATAAAAATTGACCTGTTTTTTTTTTAATTCTAATTCAAAATATTCTGAGACACGTCTGGTCACTACCCAGTATATGAAAGCTCATAAAGAGCAGAAAGTATAATTTTATTGCATTTTAACGTACTAAAACTTGACTTTAAATATGATAAAAAAATGTTTTTTTTTTAACTTAATCTTTTCCTTTTAGATTTTAAATGTATTTTTTTTTCTTAAATTCTAAATTAAAAATATAATTTAAATTGGTCATTTAATATTTGTTTTAATTTATTTTAAACATTCTTGGCAATTGAAATATTTAATTGATATTTTTATTAGGCTGATACCCATATATACCAATATTGCACTCTACATATCGGCAGATACCGATATTGATAGATGCCTAGAGAAAACAAAAATGCAATCAATAAAAATATCACATGAAATTAACTTAAAACTATTATAAATCTTACCTATCTCTCATAAACCATTTCTCTTTAGATTCTTCCTTTTTATAAAAATCATCATCTTTATATGTTTTATTCCTACTTCTTTTATATTCCTCCAACTCTCTATTGTATTCATCTCTATGTCTCTCTCTTGATCTGTCTCTATACCTGTCCCTCTCTTCATGCCTATCCCTATCATGGTCTCTAGTTTTCTTATCACTGGAATAAAAACTATTTCTTTCTTTATCTCGATTTCTATCATGATGTTCTTGATATCTTTCTTTATCCTTATCTCTACTATTTCTCCTGTGCTTTTCCTTGTCTTTATCTGCATCTTTAGATCTTTTATGATCCTTTTCCCTGTCCTTTTTTTCTAACTTATCATGAGTTTTAATTCTCTTTTCTTTTAGATCTCTGCTTCTACTTCTTGAACGCTTTTTAGAATGTGACTTATGTTTTTTCTTCTTTTTTGAACTATCTGAATCACTAACTAGTCCTTCTTCATGTTCTTCAATTTTTTGTTTTATTTCATTTATAGCAGAATCAAATATTGACTTAAATTTAATATCTTTAATGATAATTTTCTGTTTTCCATTATCCATAGATTTCGACTTTTCATTATCCTGTTTTTCTTCCCACACTCCCTCTTCTTCATCTGAATGCTGCTTTTTAGATGCCTTTTCCTTTTTGATTAATTCGTCGAACTCCTTTTTAATTTTTTTCTCTGCCAGTTCTTTTTCTTTTTTTATAAGGATTTGTTCTAAATCCACTTTACCATTTTCAGTATCACTAATTGAAGAACTACTACTTGAACGTTTTTTCTTTTTCTCTTTTTTCTTGTGTTTTTTATCTTTACTTTTATGTTTTTTCTTTTTCTTGTGCTTCTTACTAGATTCATCAGATTTTTCTTTTTTAATAATCAAAGGTGGTTTTGCATGGAATGTACTGAATAATTCTGATAGTATTTCCATAGAAGATTTTGAAGGTACATTGGGTTTGCATTCTTTTTCTTCCTTTATTTCAGACATAACCTAAAAATGTATAAATGAGTATGTAGATACCTCCAAATCTTAATAAATTCCTTACTTATGATATAGAAATAATGGAACTGGATTCTTATTCTTAATAAGCTAAAAATTAAACTCAAATTCCCAGTATTTTTCTGATATAAACAAACCGACTACCTGCTGTAGGAATTGTCAAATGTCAGTTGTCATTTTGCTATCATTTGTCATTTTATCACGCAAACACAGTGACGGCTCGTGGCCTAGTATGCATGGGGGGGGGGGGCTACTTTTGAAAGGCAAGAGCAAACCGGACCTCTCGCCTAAGCAAAAATGTTTAAAGGATTTTCTAATATAAAATTGTATTTATAAGCGCGCCACTGGGAATACTTCGCGATATTATGTTTCTCGAGAATGTAGAGAGCTTTAAATATGTGCAACGATAAGGCAGCACTCTACATAGACGTTCAAGAAAAAAAGTTGGGAAATCCTTACATTTAACTAGAGATTTATTTAAAAAAGAAGCAAAATTTCATAGATTTAATACAGAATGGCGCGTAAATGTTTTTTTTATTATTGGTATTTCCTAAAAATTTCACATAAATCGGACTAAAAAATTAAAACTGAAGGCTCGGAGGGAATTATAAAATTTCAAGTTGTTCGATTTTTTTCACTTTCGGAAATTGAACAGTGGACCATACAACGATAGCTAAATCACCATAAGTGAGATGAGTTGAATAGGAAGTCGGATGTACCGTGCACAAGGCCACATAATAGGTAATGCGTTGCTCAGTTGTCTTTGTTCGATACACGCATGGTGATAGTGTAAAACAGATGAGTGTACCGTTTAACTTTCCGTGTCTGTATTTATCAAATCTTAACATAGCACTTTATAGGTGATCCAATCATAATCTGGCAGTCCGTACCTGGCGTTAAATATATTTTGGTAGTATTTTTCTAATTTAGGACACTTTTATTTATTTTAACCTAATAAGTACTTCATCCTGGTTTTCCATTTAATCGTCAAAATTGCCGATGCTATGTAAAGTAATAGTTTTGTTGCATTTATCTTCTAATTCATTAAAACACTACTTGTTTAATTTGTTAAAATACATATCCAGTTGTTTGTATTATAAACTTGCATTTGGAAACTTCGTTTATGTTTTTTGTATGCAGTGTATGCACAAAATGTAGTTCACTACGACAACTCCTCGACAACTCATAATTACATCGCGATCCCCACGGATTTCACATTTGACTACATAAGGTATGTTTTTAAAACAAAATTTTTACCAACAAGCTATAACGACTTTGACAAGGAAACCTGTTGAACATGCATACAATATGTTAACCCATGGATCCTTCGAAATAAATATAAGACGCCTATATAAAATTATATTTGTACGTGAGAAAAACAGAGAGGCTCTCGTGAATGTGCTGACTGCCTGCCGTGATTTAACAGATGAATACACCTCTACCGCTAGTGGGTTGGCGCGAATATTTCTACAACTCTCTGCAATAGCATTGCGTTCTTCTAACGTCGTTGTGGGAAACTTAATATACTGTATATGATCAAATAAAAGTAACTAACACAAAACTGGTCTTTCAAATAACTTTATACTGTTGAAAAATATACACGTATAAAACAATCATGGTAAACAAGTTTGAATGTTTATAAACAGCCATTTTGCTTTCTATCTAACAATAAACAGACCCACTGCCTATACACTTTACACACTGTCTACATGGAAGAAAGGCGAAAATTTTAGTAGACCTCTTGCATATAAAAAGTCCGTATCTGAGACCTACGAGCGCGTGTGGCATTGTCCGATCTGTCACCCCGAATACGGTTTGTTAGAACAGTGCGCGACGCAAAACTCACAGTCTGCTGAGCGACGGCGCGGGTCAGCTGAAATCTAACAAGTTAATACTATAGCCCCAGTATATATACCAACTATAGCAATGGTTTTGGTTTGTTAGAATCAGCAGACAGTAGTGTACGTCGACTGAATACGTCGAAATCAATTTAGCTAGCTGCAGTAGTTGTTCTATGCTAGCTGCATCAGTTAACTGACAAGTGAAATAAAGGTTAGGATAATTTATGTTATAATAAAGTAATACAATGTTGGAACTTTCTTCTGAAGAGATGAAATATTAATTGATATATGTAGTGAAGAGCATCCCGCACTTTATCAAGTGAAAAGAAGAAGTTCCAAAGACAATATAGTTAAAAATAATGCTTCACTTTGGTTATTACTACTTAAAAACTAACAATTCTTCTTTGTGTCGTTAAAATAATCGCTACTAACACGAATTAATGGGTACTCATTTTTGCCTGCATGTATCAACAGAATAAGTAGAACTGATATAGGGGTCTATTCTGTAAAATTCCTTTATATTTAACGGCCTTTAAAAATATTGGCGGCCTTTAAAAGTATATTTGTATTCGTTAATTTACTTCTGTCATTATTTAAACAGATAGTACTCTAATGTATTTTAAAGATCCGTTTAAATAATGACAGAGGTAAAGAAGAAAATATTTTTAAAGGCCGTTAAATATAAAGGAATTGTTACAGAATAGACCCCATATTCTAACAAACCACTTCTACTGAACTGACGTGAGTCGAACGCGACAGATTCTGCCGTACGGGTACGTCGAGCGTTGCGCACTGTTCTAACCGTAGCTTTGGTTGCCAGAGGTTACAGGAAAAATTATGGCGCCATATTATCAAAATTATGATTTTACCAAAATTATGTTAAAATCCTAATATGTAGAGACAAAGGTAGGAAGATGAACAAATCCATAATCTGTAAAATAACATTTATTAAAGAGAAAAATAATTTATTTAAAGAATAGCATACCAAATAAATATTTTCAATATTAAAAAAATATTTATGATCAATATAACTTAAAAAAAATTCACTTAAGTTCAGTTTCTTAAGGCATTTCTTTATAAGCTTACCATAACTTACTAGAACATACTTATGTAACCAAAGCAATTCTTTAAACGGATTGGTTACTTCCATGACGTCATACGTTACCAAAATACTTAACTACTACTAACCATGATGTTTTTAGTGGTAAGGTGTGTGGTAAGGTCAGTAAGGTCCACACATGGAGGAAGGATTATTAAGAGTTGCCGGAGTTCTGTTTATAAATACGGGTCCTAATCACGATGGTTAAATAGTGGTCTTAATACATTTTTAAAAAATATTTAAATTTTTATTTCATAAAAAACTGTAAAAAGTGTCGAATACACTATAAGCAATTACAGAAGGCTCCTTCATTGTCAGTTTATATTTTAAATATCTATTAAACATATTTTTTTATTCTATAAATTTTAATATACTTTCTTTTTAGATATTCATACCCCTTCTGAATAATATTTAAACTAAAAATTTGTCAATCCAATACTCTTAAACCGGACCTGTCGACATATTTATCGATTGCACGTCGAGTGCATCGAATCGAGTGGCTGCCATGTGGCTGCACCATGCTGCCATCTGCAATGTTGTGAAAAATGTCAAGTCGAGTTGTCAAAGAAAGTCAAATTTTAGAATATTTTTGGTGTGATAGTTGTGATATGTAATATTTCTTTTCTCTAGAACAATAATTTTTTTAAAAATTTTAATACTACTGTTTAATTTTGTTTTAAAAGTGTAAACAATTATTCATCAAAATAGATTTCAACGTTGGACTTAGGTGTTCTTCTCACCAAATATTAAATTGTGATAATATTTCGTTGGCAAGTTCTTCAGAAGTTGCAGCCATGGATTATGCTGAATTACAAAAACATGCTGACACACTTGGGAAAAAATGGTACAGAAACGCTAAACAAAGGTAACGTTGATTAATTTTAAATGTTTTTCTTTGGCTATACATTTTTAACATTTCATAAGGTTCCAAAATGAAAAATCTGAAAAATACATCCTTCTGAAACCTGAGATCTTATTTTTTGTCTCATTTTCCAGAAATGGACAGATTAGAATGTTTTTGAATAAGTCACTGACCAAAAAAAATATTTTGGGAGGAAATGTTTAAAAATACATGTTTCAGGTGTGGGAAGTGTGTGACCTGTTTAAATATTTCAGTAATTTCAATTAGGTAGGATACCTACCTACTACTGATATATTTTTCAATCTCTTCTAAAAATAAGTACCTATAACATTTAAATTAATAGAAAAAATTCTTTAACATGTTTAATATAGATATTTACTCTTACTGTTTGGGGCAACATACACAGTAATGTAGGAGTAAAAAAAGTTACCCAAGTATATTTTTACAACTTTTCAAAGTATTTTTCATTCTAAATGAAACACCACTTTTCTATACTTAATAATTTCAAAATTAGACGTGGGGTAGTCTTGTAGTTTATGTGGCTTCTAATGCACATGAAAACAGAATAATTTTCAAATAAAAAGTAAAAATAAGAAATAGATTTTCAAAAAATAGTTGGGATTGATTACTGATTTAAAGTAAATTTCTTCACCTATGATCAAACTCCAGTTGTTTAAAAATAAATTTGTGTGAACATTACATATTTAAGTAATATGAGACGGATTCATCATAGTGAATTATTTTATTATCAGATTAATGAGTCTGTGCATTGGAAAATGGTGGAAAATAACCTTGCTTAATTTTGACTCTTTTTGGATATCAGTAAAAATCACTATACGGTCACAAATTTTACTGTCTTAAATTAATTAATTTGCAAACACAACACTAGTTGATTTATCTTCATTTTGGATAATATGAATCACAAAGAGGAATTATTTAGGTTTGTTTCAAATAAATGTATTTGTTTAGAGATATGGATTTATTGCATTTTGAAAAATATATAATTATATTTCAGTGCTTTATGAAACCTCTATTTTTGACCTTTTTTTTAACATATAGATATAGAATATTGTCTATTTATATACCTAGTACTAATTAGCCAATAGTATGCAATTCAAAACATTCACAAAATGTCAAATGTGGAGTTAAATGTTTTGTTCGTGTTTGAAATGATGATTATTAAAAAATATATTATACACCCAGTAACAATTGAATAAATCCATTAAGTACTATTTTGTTGTTTGCTCTATATTAGCACATATTAATTTAATTTTGTTTGTGCTAGTCGCATTTTGCATAACCTTGATTTTTGAGTTTTTAATTTAGCAAGCAATACTTCTAAAATTTATCATTTACATAGGTACCTATCATCACTACTACATACTTATGGTAGCCAGAATGTCAGATTTTTTAAATTTGTAAATAAATCAATATATAAATAGACAAAGAGAAAATAGTTCAGTACCATTTTCTCTTCTGTTTGTGAACCGATTTCTTTTTTTTTTTTTTTTAATTTTGTTTAGTAGCTATTGATGAGTTTTAGTGTCAATAAAAAAGTTTTGGAAATAGATTTTTCCCAAGCTTCAATATATGAAATCAATTGATCCACAATTATTATGAATTGATTGACTAATAAAATTAGCCTGTAGCGAACATGATCATCCATTAATTTCGAACCAACATGGAAAATATTATATGGATGGATAGAGGATCGTGAAAAACGAAAAAAAAAAATTAGTTCTCTCACACTCTTCCAACTTCTCCCTCCTCTTCCTCTGCCACACCTTAATGCTAAGGGATAGAGAAAAAAAATGAATAGACCCATCTGAAACGATTTGAAACAGCCCAACTTCCCCTTCCCCTACTTCTCCTCCCACCCCAGTGAAGGTCGATATATAGAACCAGTATACTTAGAAAAATAAACTTCTGGTACTACTGATTGGATTTTGAGGTGAAAACAATTCCTTCCCTCAAAGGAAATTGATCCCCTTCTAAGTGAAGGTGGGAGGAATATTTTTTTTATAATTCAGTTATTTTGAGATATTGGTTATATAGATAATTAAAATAGAAAAATTCGAAGAGTAGGCTGACCTCCTTCCCCCACCCACTTTTTTATACCTTTTCTGGGATTTTAATGATTATTAAGCTGGGCTATGGAGTTACACTCAACCCCTATTTTTTAGGACCTCAAAATTAACCTAAAAATAAAAATTGTGTTTCATATCAATAAATGAGGGTTTTTAAATTGTGAGTTACTGTTATTTTATTAAATTTATTTTTCATTTGATTATAATGGTACTGAACTATGTTGTATTGAAGTACTTAATATAAAAGTTTATGGTCTCAGATATACAATGAACGAATGTATAAGAATAAAAAAAATGTTAGAAACCTGCAAATGCATGTATGTTTTTTCAAAATTTCAGTAATGATTACAGTCAAATTTTGATCACCATTCATCAATATATATTATTATGCATTAATGTTATTGGAAAGCATAAATATGGCCCTTACAGTTACTGCCACATTTAGTTGGTTTTTAATTTACAGTTTTATAAACATTTTCCACTTACACAACCATAGGGTTGCCAGATTTACAAAAGGCAAAACGTGGCAGATGAAAAAACAAGTATTTTTATAAAACATGTCTTTTTTCTAAAAAAATAAGCTCTTACCTCTTCAGAAAATCATTATTTATAAAGTTTGGATTTAAAAAGCGTGACATTTTGGTACTTCAGCGTGAAGCGTGGCAGCAAGTAAAAAAGCTTGACAATCCCTCCTAAAGCGGGACGTCTAGCAACCCTACACAACCATAATCTAAATTTTAAGTTAAAATTAAATTTAAATGTTTTCCTTAATAAGAACCTCAAATTTTTCATGTATTATTGAATCTACCATTTAAGTTCATTAATATTATCCCTGTCTGTATAAATTTGTAGATACCACTATTTCAATTTTATTACTATAATACAAAATTGGTTTATTTGTTTGAACAATTTTATTTTAAGTGAGAGATGTCCAACAAGTAAAAATGACTTTTTTGTTGAATTAAATATAACATTGTTAATTATGTTATTTGTTGAGCTTAGTATTAAAAAAATCTTGATATACAGGTACATTTCAATTTTTTTAATTTATTGCTATCTCTATTTAATTAGGATTTATTCATGATAAGAGATGTAATCAATGTAATTTTTTTACTAGTGTAAGATTTATGAGTTGTTTTCTAAAACTATTGTCACTAAAATGTAGTTTCTAAAATAGATAAGACAAATTTCACCCACATATTATAACTATAAATGAACAATCACAGTTGGACTCTTAGGTTGAGTAGATCAGGAACAAAATTATTAAACCCCAGAACTCCATACCGTCCTTCTTAGTAATTCTCCAGCAGATTTAATTTGAAAATTATAAATTAAGCAATTATGAATAATTTATCATGTAAATAGTAACATTCTTTAGTTTATTAAATTGCTTTATGACAGATTTATTTTAACTTCTCCTCCTATTTTACCAAATTAAGTAATTAAATATGTCTGTACTTTCTGAACAGCAAGCAAGATTATTCCATATTTGAATGAATAATAATTTTATATTTTTACAGAGAGTACCATGAACAGTTCCAAAGAATATTAGCCTCATAAACGTGCACAATATCTCCAGCAGATAATTTAGTACCCTATTTAACACAAAATTGATGATAAGCTCAAAAATTTATCTTATTGATTCAAACTGAAAACGTTGCCTCCCTAAAGACTTATCAGACATTTAAAGGGTGTTTACATAAAAATAATTTTATATTTTAACAGTTTTTAAAATATTTACTTAAATACTTAAAAATACTTAAATACTTAAATACTTAAATACTTAAATACTTAAATACTTAAATACTTAAATACTTAAATACTTAAATACTTAAATACTTAAATACTTAAATACTTAAATACTTAAATACTTAAATACTTAAATACTTAAATACTTAAATACTTAAATACTTAAATACTTAAATACTTAAATACTTAAATACTTAAATACTTAAATACTTAAATACTTAAATACTTAAATACTTAAATACTTAAATACTTAAATACTTAAATACTTAAATACTTAAATACTTAAATACTTAAATACTTAAATACTTAAATACTTAAATACTTAAATACTTAAATACTTAAATACTTAAATACTTAAATACTTAAATAATTAAATACTTAAATACTTAAATACTTAAATACTTAAATACTTAAATACTTAAATACTTAAATACTTAAATACTTAAATACTTAAATACTTAAATACTTAAATACTTAAATACTTAAATACTTAAATACTTAAATACTTAAATAATTAAATACTTAAATACTTAAATACTTAAATACTTAAATACTTAAATACTTAAATACTTAAATACTTAAATACTTAAATACTTAAATACTTAAATACTTAAATACTTAAATACTTAAATACTTAAATACTTAAATACTTAAATACTTAAATACTTAAATACTTAAATACTTAAATACTTAAATACTTAAATACTTAAATACTTAAATACTTAAATACTTAAATACTTAAATACTTAAATACTTAAATACTTAAATACTTAAATACTTAAATACTTAAATACTTAAATACTTAAATACTTAAATACTTAAATACTTAAATACTTAAATACTTAAATACTTAAATACTTAAATACTTAAATACTTAAATACTTAAATACTTAAATACTTAAATACTTAAATACTTAAATACTTAAATACTTAAATACTTAAATACTTAAATACTTATGCCTTTCCCTATTCCACAGTCTTGCTAAAGTTAATCTGTGTCTCCGGTTACGTCTTTAATGGTCAAAGAGAAGGGCACTTGACATGGTACTAGTAATTATTGATAACATTGGGGGTACAATAAGCCTTAAAGGATGCAGTGCCGCCACGATTGAGTCCTTATGCTTTTGTAGATGTACTAGGGTAATAGCAGGGTGAAGGAAAGGAAATGTTTTTGTGGGGCATAGCCTTTCATAATAATATCGGGACAAAATTTAATTATGGAAGTAGCGCGTATTTCTTCTAAGACATTTGTTGTTTATTGGTATGAGGTAGTGGGGATTATTTCTACAATGTTATGCAATGCTTAATTCAAAAATGTTCATACTATACTATAGAATTATTTCATTTCAAATGGTATTTCTAATGATAATTTAATATACATTGTATAAAAATATGTAGAATATTGGTTCTCAACTCATTTACACAATAGCTTATCAGTTATATCACAATACTAAGGCTTATGCAGGATTAATTTATTCAAATAAGCCAAAAAACTTATGTTGATTAAGTATAAAATATATTTATTTTAAAAAATATTAAAATTATTCCGTTATACAAATTATTGTAAATGAAATTCTTGCCGTGTTACAGTTCTTATTTCTTACTGTATATCTCTTATGATTGGAAAATAAATTTATCTCTTATCATACTCTTGACCCTCTCTTGGGTTGCCTAATCATTTGGTCAGGCTTTTATACATGTAAATATGTAATCAGTGTTAGTAACACAGTGAAAGTAAAACCAGTGTAACATATTGAAGAGGATATTGGAAAAAAGAACAACACTGTTTAAAAAAGTTTTTGAATCTACCTAATATACTGAAATATATTGATAAAAATGCCTGAAGTATCTCAAGATGCGTTTGAAGCTAAAAATCCTTTAGAATTTCTTTTAACTCCCGAAATTATGCGCGCAAGGGCTAATACTTTGACAGTTGAAAGTCCTTTTTCGTGGAGAAATAGGGAAAATTCTGGTAGCGACGTAGAAGAAATAGAAACCAGGTTCGATGATCCGCCTTATTTAAAAGGATTCAAGAGGCAGCTAGGTCACAGGTAAATAGCATTTTATAAAATTGCCAGTTATAAATATGCACAATTTTTTTATAGTATTTGTATTTTTTTTATATCTTTCCACCTTCAATAATTATATCAGGTTTACAGTTTGTTAATCTTAATAAAATGCACCAAAAAAATATTCGAAATCCTAATTTATAATTAGCGTCGTAAATAAATGATTACAGAAATAATTGGATTGCGCAAAATTGACTAATGCTCATCAATTCAAAGGTTCCAATGTATTCCTGAAATCACTGCCTGTTAGGTATTTCATTGATACTCGTCTATCCGTCAATAAGCTCACTAGCTTGCCCTTTCTAACTTCAATATCTTGAATATCAAAAAGGAAACTAATGTTTAAATGAAAGTAGTTTATGAATGAAAATAATGTGATTTTAAATTCCACGGCGAAACACACTTAAGACCATTTACCGCCAAGGTTTCAACCGCAACTAATTTTCATGTTAATACGCTAATTTACATTGACTATATTTATGTGAACAGAACGATTTCTTAACTAAAATTTTAAACTCCAACGGTAAAACAGTCTATGTATACACATATGTGGCTTCTAGAATATTCCAGACATCTTTCGAATAAGAATTAGCGGACACGCCAGAACTTGCTACGACGATGCCTTCACCAAAATCTTTGTCTCTAGGTGAGTTCGGTCTACGCACTCTTTTCACTATATTCACTCCTAAAGTACCTAAGGCGTTCTGGTACGGAAGGAGTTAAAATAAAAGTTCCTCTTTGACCGTTCGGAGATCGTGGAGTGGAGTGTGGATCGGGCATGCGCATAAGGTGATTTAAATTGATAATAAGATAATTGTGACTAATTCTTAAGTAAAAATGCTTTTTATTTGATTCCCGTGCATACCATTAATATGGAAAAAACTTGTACGGTTGTTACTGATAAGTACGATTAGGTTTTAAGTATTAGTATTGAACATTGACAACTGACATTGAACTCTTAGAGTAAAAGGAGTAAAACCATATGCGCACTCCGTTTACGCCACTCTGGAGTGCGCAGCCCGAACTCGCCTTCTAGATGCTTGGTCGACGGGTCCAGTATCGATCGGTCCATAGGCGTATTGGAGCATGATCTGGCTGGTCGTAAACGGCGCGCACGACAACATCAATATCATCTCGTATACCAAAGTATAGTTTTATTTGTTCCGTTATTAGTGTATCCCAACAGAAGGAACTCTGTTTATTAAGAAGGTATTAGATACGTACGCGCCAAAACTATAGAAGGAAGACTATGTATAAATATGTCGGCCGGTTCAATCAGATTTTTCCTTGAAAATTAAAGCCAAGGTACGTAGGCCATAGAGCCCCGGAGTATGTAAGTCACCAAGATGCTACCCAGTCGGGTTCGAGGAACGTACACTTCAGTGCTCTCATCAAAGAGCAAATATGTACGAAATATCTCGCCAATCTGAAAGCGACAGTTCAGGGTAGCTATTCTTGAATTCGAGGGAATGGAAAACCGGTTTTTCCTCTTTATCAACGCACAAAATTTGTATTTTTGTCTCATTCTTCCCTCAAAATTTTTACACCCTGAGATTCAAGAATAGATACCCAGGAGTTACGCATTCAAAATCAGACGTTTAAGATCTAAAACTTGTACGCGAGATTTTGAAAGAATTTTTTGGTAACATGGAACAGCAAATTTTCACACACACGAGACGGAAATGTGTTTGAAATTGATCAACTGAACTCTTGTGTTTCGCTTCTTTTTCAATTATATTAGATTTGATTAGGACTATGAATGAAGCCTCTCACATCTAGACCTTTTCAATTCTATTTTGGATATCTATAGTATGTGGTATGTGCGGTCATTACATAATAGTTGGTGGCTCAATTTATCAATTATTTATTAAATCATTAAAAAAATAGAAAAACAAGTCTGCTGCTCATACAGATTTCTCGCCTGGACAAATATGGATTCAAAAACATTCAATTTGTAAAACTAAAAATGGCTTGCCTTGTAAGGTGGGAAATATATACACAAAATTAAAGAATTGTTAATATTTTTATTTGATTAATTTTCAGTAAATATTAGTTATTTATCTTTCTTATTTTCTTTTTCACTTTCTTCTTATTCTTCAATTTTCTCTTATGTAAATCGTTTCTCTAATGGGCATTGTAATCATTTTTCCAACCATTTTCGCCATAGATATCACCAGCTGTTTTTTTAGACCCTTGTCTTTTAGATTCTGTCTTTATTTCGGACCATCTTTCAAAATACGATAAATTGTTCTTTCAGCTTTACCAGTTAAGAAAGCAGATTTTTCAATTATTTTCCATTACTCCTTCATTTTTTATAATATTGTCGTACGATACCGGTCCTGCTCTATAGGGTGACGCCCAGTCTACCTCGATACAACCGAGAGAATACCAGAAAACTCTTTGTACAAGTACTAACTCACAAAGCAATGGTTTTCGCTGTGTCCCCAACCGTCTAAAGATCACCGATGCAACGACGGCAGCATTACGAGATCTTTCTACACAAGCCTAGAGTTGTTCCGAACATAACATTTCTAATATAAATAAACTCTTTGTAGATAGTTAGTTAGGTTTCAATGAAAGTGTTGTATAGTAAAGAAAAATTGTAATAAATTAGAATTGTGTGTTATAATAGTGCCTAAGTATTAATTAAATTAATTAGTACGTTATAAATAAACTTTTTTTAATAAATAATTTATTTTTAAATTATACAATTGTTACAATATTTAAAAATGGGAAAATAATTCCAAATTCAAATGTGACCAAGATTTAGAATATAAAAAATGTGTATCAATTGTACATAAGTACCTACATGGAACTTCTAAACACTACACAATTATTTATAATTTTGAATAATATTCCAATATCATGCAAAGTAAAACGAATAAAATTAAAGAAATATGCATTATTTAACTAAAAATTCTTTCTTAATTGCAATACAGATATTTGGAACCTGGACCCAAGTTTCTTTTTGTATTTCCTCTTGTTATTGGTTAGTTCTAGTATCGGTAAATGATTAATCATTCTTAATTGGAAAATATCGACACCTGACTCTTAGAGAAAAAGTTGATGAGCAATAAATTATAAAATTATTAATTCATAAGTTATCTTTAAAAGCGTAAAATAATCTTAAAATGCATCATTGTATAGACCCACGCTTGTCAGTTTATAACGTGGGCTTGAAAGTGAAGCAATTTTATATTAGTACTAAGTAATAAATAAACTTTTCATAACGTTTGTCAATATCATGAATTTATGACACTCCTTAATATTAATATTATTTACCAATTATACTGTACTGATGAAGTGCAATGACTTGATATAAATTCTTAATCTGACGATAAACTATGGATATTTAGAAGAGAAATCAATAATGAATATCAGTATAATTATTTTTATAAGATGCCTTTTTAATTGAACAGTAGCATTCTGTCCAGGGCTTTGCTTGGATTACATTATTTACAATATTTAGAATGGGGAAGGAGGGGGTGCGAAGTAACATAAGGGAGGCGCCCGAGTGCCCTGAAGTAATAATAACAATATTTACTTAGCTTTAAAATAATAAAAAAAATAATATTTGACAAACTCAAATAAAAATGCAGAACCACCCTTCGCATTAGATTAGTGATTCCAAATGTATAAATAAGTTTTAGTGTAGTAACAATAGTTTCTGTTTCTATAAAGGGGGAGAAGGGGGAGGGTGGCGTGACGTGACCACCTCTTTATTTCAAAAAAGGGGCGCCATAGAAAAAAATTTGGGAACCACCAATTTAAAGGAAGTGATAAAACCCTGCAATAAGATCAAATTACCCTAAAGTCTTATTTAAGAAAAATGAACTTTCATAAAATAATTATTTTTAATTTTAACAAAAATCTTGTTTTTCCGAAACTTGTTACTTGGGTGTTCTTCTGTCGGTTTCATATATTTTTCAGAAAAAAATATTAATGAATATTTGTGGAAATATAACCTCATTTATTTGAATTTTACTAATCACAGTTTGACGTTGATGTTTCTAGCTTTGAGGATTTAGAGGTACATAAATATTTAAAGAGGCTTTATGAAGTAGGCTGTTAGATTTAAATTTTTGGAACATTGATTTATATATAATTATCAAAGTCGTGATAGTACAGAAAAAATTGTCCTTTTCGTAAAATCGAAATAAATTACCAAAAATCTACAAAGAAATAAATATATATTTTAAATCCATTTTCACAGGCGTAGATAATAATTTATAAATTCCAAACTTACGAATTCCTGCAATAAAATATTTTTTTTTCGTTTCAAGAATGATCCAAGAATAGCGTCCTCCTTAGTAAGCATAATTAAAGCTACTTTGCAGCAATTTATCGTAAGCGACAAATTACTTTCCGCTCGAATTACACACAAGATTTTTTCTACCATTATGCGATATTACCACATTCAAATTTTACTTCAATGTTTATTTGACAGGAACCGCTAGTGAAGACTGTCTTATATGTATATTGTGTTGCCTACTTACGTGCAGATTGAAAACAGGATAATCTATTTTAAATATTTCAACTATGTTCAACTAAAATATTCAAACTAGTCTACATTTTATTTTAAAATACAGATTAACTTTAATAATGATTATTTTTCTAATGAAAATAAGCATGCGCCAAAGTAACTTTGGCGCACGAGTGCGCCAATGATATCAAATCGCATAAAACATCAACTTTTCAATTAGATTTATGTCCAAAAGCCTACTTTGGATAGTAATGGTTTGAAAATAGTAGTTTGTGCAACAAGAGTGGATATGATGGCCATATCGCACGAAGACGAAATTTGAGCACGACACCGTAGGCGGAGTGCTCAATCGTCTGAGTGCGATGTGGACAATCCACTCGAGTTGTACAGTATATTTTTTCTACGATCCACTAACGAAAATTTACAAATAAAAAAAAACTATATGATGTCAATTTAATTACAAGTATTAAAGCAAAAAATTAAGCGCGTAGATGGTCGA